GGGGCAAAGGGGATAGCCGTTCAGGTTACTCCAGTGTCTGGCTTCTCTGCTGACCATTGCTTGTGCTCTGATAAATGGATCCTTGTCAGGATCTTGCTTCATGCGTGTTCGTATTTCAGGCATCCTCTCAGTGGCCGAGGCCTGGCCTCTAAAGGACGAAGGTGAGTCATCCTCTGCAGATGCCCCCCCCCCCTGATTTCCACTTGCCAGTTTTGTTTTCTTTCCCTTTCTTTTGGTCTTTAACAACAAGCCATCTTTGTTGGTATCGCAAATTCGTTTTAGTTAGGGTCACCACACATTCGCAAAAACCCCTGCGTGGGGAAATTCCTCTTCTGCACTCAACGGAACTATTGACATCATTTCAATTGCTGTTAAGTTGAAATCACCAAGCTCCGAATCGGATGTGCTTTTTCACGTTTTAAGAAAAGAAGACTAGCCTCCAAATCTCCTGGGTGTTTCATTAGATATGCGCAACGACCCTGTCCGTATTTAGCAACTATATTTAGCCAGTAGATGCCCAAGACTGCTACCGCTGGCTTTCGGCAGGGAAGAAAGCTGATCTTTCGTATTGCCCGGCGTGGTATGGGGATCATCATCTGGCTGTTGAGTGAGCTGTGTTGAAGTGGTGGTGAAAGTCGCACTGACTTTACTGTTATTTTTGTTTAGACAAACTTGTTCGCCAACAGCGCGCAGCCAAAGCACTTCACAGTCTGGAGCCGTCTATTAAAAGTAAGAAGGCCTTATCCATAGTGTTTTTGATGTCAGCCGAAGTTTTATTGAACTATACAGGATTTGAAACCTGGATTCTCCAACTAGGGTGTTTTGCTGACTCACAGTGCTAGTGGGTGTCGTTCTGGGAATACCAAACTGGGCAACTTTCGTTGAACAATGGTTATAAACGACCTATATGTGTTGATGCTTAAATATCTGTTCGTCGTCCACATTGATGTTCACCTAGGACTCGATCATCCCCATGTTCGTTGTATCTGGGATCTAACGTCTGGTCTTTTTGACCTTGATGCGCGTGACGCATGACATTCACACTAGTTTTTTATGCGCACCGACAGTTCCATCATAGGGAACAACCGGTCATTGGGACAATATCCTTTTGTTCATCAGGGCTTCCTTAATTGAAGCTTGATATGGCCTTGCTGTGACCGCTACCAGTTATATCAACTAGCCCTAGATGTAGTATTGTTTGACTTTAACGTTTGCGTTTTCGACATAGTGCCGTAAACAGTTGCGTGGGCCAACCGTCACACTATGCAAAATTCTTTTCATTAGTTTTGCGATCACCTTTGACAGTAGCTGCTTGAATTTATGGCTTCTACTTTGCTGAATGAGTACTTATAATGCATCATTACCGTTTCGCCACTCAGACTGTTCCTATCTAAAGCGCCATTTTCTAATCGCTTTGAAACGACATTTCTGTTTTAGTACCACAGGATTGCCGAGTGGTTGAGAAGGTCTTGGAGGGTGCGTTCCCGACCGGAATGCGTCATACTCTTCCGCTGATGATTATCGTTCAGTGTTAGCTTTTGCATTTACACAAATCGGTACCATCATTGATATTATTCGGTCACTCAGTCCCATTACTGCCTAGGTGTGCCATTTTCACCGATATTCTTATTTTACTGCATTAATTGACACCTGCGACTCGACTCTGGTATTGTCATCTGTTCATTCACATTGCTGAATAATAAAGATCAATTCATAATTGCCTTTTATCTGGGTGTTTTAATGAAGCAGCCTGAGTTTTCGAGGCTGTGATGGGTCAAACTAGCGCGTGGGGTGGGGCGTGCACCGTTGACGTGTAAGAGAATTGGAATATCAGTGGCGTGGTTTGGAAGCTATGGTGCTGAGCTGGAGTGGGGTTCTCGCGTGGTTAAGCACAGCTAAGGGGACTTAAGTTGCTGCATCGTGATTGGATTCCGGTATCATCGAAAGAGTAGTAGTGCGGCGGGGGTAGTGTGCAGCCTCGGTAGTCGTGGCGGTCTAAATATCAATTTTTGACTGACGGAGACATCGCAGCAGGAATACTCATGTTGCCTGTGAATCCAATAAGGCGGTTCCAGTCTGCAACCTCGGTTTCCGCCCACGAGGAACGATTTTCAGCGACAGTAAAATAACGCCCTATTCTGATTTTAGCGTTGTCCACAAAAACACTTTCACACCACTGAATTCAATCGATTTTAAAATAATTTGCTGTATTATTTTTGTCATTTGTTAGTGGGGTCAAATAAAAATTTCTTTGATGCATCATTTAAAATCTTGGAGTGGAACAGCAATTCTGTATCATTACAAAGTGGTTCTAAGAGAAAGCAACTAAATCATTTTATCTTAAGGAGGATCAACATGTTTGAGTCGAGCGTCGATTATATATAAATTAACCTTGTTCATGAAGCAATTTGGCGCGGTGGACGGTTTTTTTTACGTTGGCCTTGGACTTCCGCAAAATGAATGTAAGTCGAAGTTTGCTTGAAAGTTCTCTATCCTTTTAATCAAAATGCAGCTTCATCAACAGTTGAATCTCAAGCGAAGCAAACTCACAGGCGAGTGAATCGTTCCATACAAGTTAATAAGTTGCCTATATCCGTGTACCAAGCTTTCAAGTCTCTTACCTTCATTTCGGGGGCTTCTGCTCTACCCTTTTCGCTCAGCATTCGCCTGACATAGGTTTTCCTTGGCTGACTTAGAACTTTTCCTTGCATTCGGGATACAATACACCGCTTCTACGATATTGGCAATCTGCATCTTGTACCGTTACTGGAGATAATCTTATCTATCCCATATTTATTAGGTATGCGAGCATTTGTTTGATATAATTTTATCAAATGTTTGGTGGACTACGTTGTTCACTAAGTTATGTATTAGTGACGCAAGATTATAAATTAATTAAAGTGTCCTTTATCACTTTAATGCGCAACTATAATTAGTTTTGCGTAGTTACAACTTATTTTGAAGTTTCATTTTACAGTTCCAATGACAACGCAGTGGATGATATACCTGGATTACCCAATCAGAAGTACTTGGGGCTAAATCACCTAGTGGGACAGTTGGGGCCACTAGTCGAAAGGGGGCTCAAGTGTGTGCTCCTTTTTGGTGTAGTCGATGGCTCGGTGAAGGATGAAAGAGGTTCAGCGGCAGATTATGGCAAAAGCCCAGTGATTGGTGCACTAAAGTTGCTGAGGGCCCAGCTACCCTCGCTCATCCTCGCATGTGATGTGTGTTTGTGCGCCTACACCCAAACGCACCGCTGTTGTGAGTTTTGGGTTTCATATTTGCTTCTTTTTTGTTCGTGAAGCTGTAAAATAGCTGTCTCTAACGTTTTGTATAGGAGAGCACTATTTACTCCATTGCCATGCTAACACTACTTTTGGCACGAACTGTTAATCGGCCCTGAAAGGGGTCATTGTGGTAGAACTGGCTTAATAAGTAGTAATTCTTGAGCTATGAATGGATGGGATTACATTTTTGTTTATTTCCAGACATTTCCAATGCATGTGGCGAAATGGACATCGAACAAACCATAAGCAGGCTATCCGAAATATCACTTAACTATGCAAAAGCAGGTTCGCGATCCTTCTCTCATGCAATTACTTGAATAATTTCTGGTATTCGGTTGCTGAATTTGGTTCTTATACTATCTCTAACGCTTAAACTGCGCGAAATGTTGACAGATATTCCGGAATCGCTCGAATGGTTGATTAGACTGTCGATTCTCATCGCTGTTGCTGCTAGAATTATTCTCAACTGGTCCGTATTTTGAAGATTAGCATTGATGTATGTGCATATGCTTGATATGCTCAGAAGTATATGCACTAGATTTCGACAAAATTAGGCGTCATATTTGCCATTTTCATAATGAATACTTACGTCCAGCTTATTTATATAATGTCCCTTCAAATTCTCGTTTGCTCTATAAGCAGTGTCGCAGCCTTCATTTTCAATTGCATTGCTCGCCTTTCCCACTAAAACCGAACGTACTTGATGTTTCATTTCAGAAGCTGTCATTTATGCTTTTCTGTTTTTTTCTTTTACGTGTTTTAGGAGCACACATAATTGCGCCTTCAGATATGTCAGAGGGTAGAATATTGGCAATAAAGCAAATACTCCATAAGAATGGTTTTTCGCGTCAAGTTTCGGTTATGTCTTACGCTGCCAAATTCGCCTCCACTTTTTATGGGCCTTTCAGGTGATTCTCTCAGCTCATCTAATGGGTTTCAAAAAATTTTTATTGAATTCCACTTTCTCAAATACCAGCCTACGCAATTGAGCCAACAAATACTGCCCATGTCATTTCAAACACCATTTAATAGATTACCGTAATCCGAGTCAACTTCTCCGTTTCCTGCCAATTCGTCGACTAGGTGTAGGCTAACAATGGCGTCTTGCATGATTGCTCAGATTACTGATGCTTTAATAAAATCGCTTCATAAAATCATGTTGTCACTCGAATGCATTGATGATTTGTGGTTTACTCATATCAAGTACCAAGGATTTTCAAATGGACGTTTTATGAATATGGTTGTGTGCTTCTAGCTACATAATTTAATGGTTTTATTTAGGAATGCGCGTTATACTTAGAAGTGATTGTATTTCTTGCATCAATGTAGGAGTCTCGTTTATTATCTGAAATGCAGTAAATGCAATGTGGAAGTTGGGCTCTCATTTATGTACTCTTTTATAAAAAGAACTGCAATAGGTTCAGGCGATGGGACCACCGACCGGAAGTCCTATCAACTACCACCTGGTGCTGCGGGTCTTGCTGTTCGAACGGCGGTAAGTTTTCTGCTCTTCTTTGTGTTTTTAGAAATCAAACTGTATTCGCTTAGATGACTTTTGTCGTCTAGATTCGCGATGCCAATGAAGGTGCCGATATCATAATGGTTAAACCGGGCATAACTTACCTAGATGTGATCGCAAACCTTCGACGCGAGGTGAACCCTGCTTTCCTACAATTAGGCCACATTAATGTTCCTATCTTGTGTTAACAACTGACTTGTCTGCCAATTTCAGTTACCATTTCATCCAATCGCTGCTTATCACGTTTCTGGCGAGTATGCTATGTTGATGGCTGCTGCAAATGCTGGCTGGATTGACTTAAAGTCAGCCGCACTCGAAATTATTCTTTCTCTCCGCCGAGCAGGTATGCAATTCAACTTCATTGTTTTAGTCGTATATGGGTCAATACCTCGAAATAAAGGCGACAATGAATGTCAGTTTATCTTGCTTAAGTGACAATCAATCAATGCCAAGCTCTGGGTGATTCAGCTTATTCTTAGGAAATAGTAGTAAATTTATTACGCAAACCCCACATTTTCATATTTATTTAAGTAAAGGTAACATTTGTTAAATATTTTAGGGGCGTCCGTTATTATTACATATTTAACACCGTATCTGCTGGACTTGGATCTCAAGGATGCATTCTGCTAAAATATGACTTGGTGTTGTTACTATGGCTTGGACAGCTGCTAAATGCACTTTTTTACACATATATTGAGTTGTTTCGGGTGTGTATCGATAGAGGGATCGTGCAAGTTTTAGTTCATGCGTTGTTAGAGGAAGATTACACAAGGATCCGATGCAGTAAACGTGTACGTGGCGCCCTGCGACTTCCTTGAGGATGAAAGGAGACATGATACTAGAGCATGGACCAGAGGCCAGCCCACCTGACGAGGAGCAAAATTGAAGAGACCCAAAGCGGTTCCTTCACCAAGACCGAGGGTTAAATAAACAACTTACATATTACGTAGTAGTCCCTCTCCTCTTTCAAGCGCCGTTGCAGGCACTCCTCGGTCAAACTTTCACATCAGCCATCACAACGGAATTGATGCTGTAAGGGCACAACCCCCAGCCCATCCTGTCAGTCATCGAATGTCTGCGCAATTGAGGCGATACTCGGCCGCAAAGTCACAGATCCCCCTTGGTAATTCAGCTGGATCTGGAGTTTCATCCTCTTTGGGAACTGGATTCGGAAGACGAGGGATTGGGCTAGCCATTGCGCGTGGTTATAGCTAGCCGTAGGAACACTGGCCTAAGAGCAGAGTTATGCACCAAGTAGGGTTTTGCATCTACTCCTCCTTGCCACTGTTCTCCCCTCAGAGCCGCCCATTCATATCTACCTGAGTTCTCTCCAGATGGGTGGATAAGTAAAGGAGGTATGGCGAGTTCACATGGTTGATATCTTCATGCAGATACAGCAGACAGCTGCGTAACAAACTTTTCCAGCTAGTTCACAGCCGCGGCTGGTGTTGCGTTAATTGTTAAGAGCATTAGTAGAGAACCCGTGACTGGGGTGATTACCGAGGATGGACACCACTTTCAGTCCTTCTTTTAGGAGTTGTCATCGACTGTCCCTATCGGCAGCATATGCACATTGTCTGCCTCGCAAGGGTTTATCATTTAGCAGTAGAAATCAGACTAGATGTCATTTCAGATTGGGTTCGTATTCTACCGCCACAAATGCAGCGCCTACAGACTTCCCTTAAGACGGTCGGGAAGCACGATACTGGGGCAGAGAATATGCAATCGACATGCAGGAGGGCTGGGCACTACTGGCATGGCTCGGAGGCCAGCCTACTCAGCGAAGGCACAACGGCGACGACAAAAAGTGGCCTCTCTATCAAAAGGGAGGGTTAGACAACCAACCAATGTATCGCAGCATCTCCACTACTTCCCAGAATTCATTGACTCTCGATTTGTCGTTATTGCAACTCTCTTTGACTAATGTGTACTCATGTTAGGATAATGTGGCTTGTTGAATTATTTGAGGCGAGCGGTGTCGTTTGCGAATGTGTCAGAGACACAACGCCATCTGACGTATTGAGTGTAAATGCATGGCCCGTAAGTGGCTCAAGAGTTTCGCATACCCGCAACGAGGCACACGAGAGGTGGAGAGGAGAGGCACGAGCGATTTGTAGCTGCGACAAGTAATTTTCATACATGGCGCAGTGTGCTGCAGTCAGGCGACGCGTTACTTTCGTATGTCAGAGGAATGTGTCTGTGACTTAGGGCACAACTTCGAAAGGTGTGCCAAAATCGACTGATGGAGGCTAAGAATGAGGACTGGACTTGGAACGTTAGTGCTTCAAATGAGATGCGAATAAGCTCTGGTGGCGAGTGTCGGCGAAAATATGCGCCACTTTCTCACCGCCCAAAGGTTGGACCGAATTTGTTATCTCCGTTTCCTCTGATGTAGTGGGTCATTAAGGTAGTATCCAGTAGAATAACGTGGAAGAGCACTTGCTTGCTTTACTATGCGAAAGAGCGCTGCGATGTCTAAAATGGATGGCAGTCACGGCGCAAGGCGGTGTGGTGAGTACAACACACCAGGAGACACTATTTGCTAACCCAGTTCCTGCTTTTGGTCTGTTTCTTTCAATATTGTTTGTGTCAGGTAAGTGTCACCCCGAAAGCCAAGTGGTGTTGCGTTTTTCAACAAAGTTGCCATTTAAGTGGGGAAATGTCTCACATTTTACTGCGATTGTGATTGAGCAGGGCTCCGAAGCTCGTAAATCAACAAGTGATTATGCTATTGTATTAGTAGATCATAAAATCGTGTCTCAGCACTCACTCTTCCTAGGTCAATCACTTTATCGAGCGAAAACTTGGAGTCTTCAGAAGGCATGATTTATTGTCACGAGTGATAATAAGACCCGCTGATAAAAGTAGTCTTTGTCGTTACAGCAGGTACTAAATCTCAAGACAGTACCACTATGACGTTAGCTACTTCAATTTACGCATTGAGCTTCTGGCATCGTCGACTCACTTCTCAGTTGATTACTGACTTCCACCATCACCCATCTTGATGATAGGCTTCAACGTGCCGAGTTTCTTGCTCTTGGCATCCGTCAGGCTCCACTTTTGGAGTGCCTTCTCCTCCTCACTCTAAAGCGCAGACTTGTGATTGAAACTGGACTTGCATTCCACTTCTAAGCTCTAATCTGATAAGCAGGAAAGATTTGTGCCTCCCTTGCTCAACACCCGTAAGAGCACTTTTAATTTCGAAAATGCTCAAAATATTGGCGAAGAATTGTGTGTCGACCTGTCACTCCAGCGTAACTATTGGGTTTAGAATGTGCGGAGTCATCAACACGAAATGTTTAGGCCCTTCATCAAGCAGCGTAGTATTGGCAAACAGAACAGATTTAGGGTGGACCACTTTCCTAGTATCGTGTGAAAGCAGTAAACCATCCTACACATAAGAGAATGGTAGGTATGAAAGTGTGGTACTGCTCATTAAGCTAAAATTTCGCTTCCTTTTATGCAATGTGTGGAGGTATTCTTCAGTGGCATTCCCTTCATACAGGCTGATTAGTAGGACCTAGACTAATCCCCTCAGCAGTATTAAAAACGAAACAGCAACAACCACAACAACTCCAAAATGCCTCACTGGAATGATTGTCGTCACCACGTTGTCTCAGCCAATGAAAGGCACGACACGCCACTGCTCACCCCGCGATCATTGGTTTGATTGTCACCGATGTGACCCTGCTCATCTGCAGATCACTGTGCTGCAATGCGTGCAATTTGTGTGGGTGCCGAACAGAGAGGCGGGTGTAAATTTGTACTTCTCCTCTACGGCATGGACATTGGGCCATTCGAAAAGCCTACCAGACGTCGTGGTGGTGGAGGGCACTTAGTGAAAGAGCGAGGGCTGAAGCGAGGCAATAGTAGGTTTACTTCTCCTGAGGCTTTTCCACGTATAAAAAGCAAAAAAGTCTTTCCAATACCGAGTCTTTCACAATAGCTCTGGGGGTCACTGCAAAGAATTCTACACTTACACATGTGCAATAACTTCAGACTGCACGCAATGTCCCAAGTCAGAATCGGGTATGGCGGCGTGGTTGCTGAAAGGAATTTAGATGATGCAGCGTCGATTGTTAATGCGCCCCATGAACACTCGGATACTGGAAAGTAAAAACCTAGATGGTTATTGCACGAGTGCAGGTAGAGAGCCTTAATTGTTGCTGTGCTGAAATAAAATACGCCCTCCGTGGTTCAGTGTGCTCAAGTTTAATGGGCCGAGAGGTCTGCAATCGCGTCCATTGCCGGTGGGTGTGAACATGCCAACGTATTTGATGCCTCAGCCACATAATCCATTACCAAGTCAATGTTACCCCTGATTTCGAATAACGGTAAAAGCTCTGTAGCTATCAGAGTAGTCTCCATTGCTAAAAAGGTGTGCCACAGCACCTGCGCTTTGCCCTTCTTTCAGCTAAAATTTCATTTTCTGATGCAATTCAAATGCACCCACACTAAAGCCAATCCCTTCTGGTCGGGCTAAGCCAGTCTATTGGTGAGGATGTGGGTGTGGGCGAAAGCCCACCAACGGCACGCCACTGGAATTGGACGTCACGCCTGAGACCCACTACCAGCCAAACAGGCGCTGTGCAAGACACCCCAACTGACCCCAACACGTTCGCTGACCCCAATGACCTCAACGACCCCCTCGCCTCTTTGATTCACAGAAAAAACACCTCAAATACGAGCCCTGACTCGATTCACCTGCAGCTATGACAAGCTAATTCGGTGGGGTTTCTGTCTCAAGTCAATTCTGCCATTCCAAGTCGCCACAACCTGACAATCTTTAATGACACAACATAGCCAACATTTACCGTGTCTAGAGTAAAAAACGACCAGTTTATGAAGTATACACAATCGTATAATGACTGCTTGACGAAATTATATAGCAAGAATGCCCAGAGGACGAGTGACAGGGACAAATATAATCCTGCAACGTACAAGATTAATACAACCAAGAAGATACCCCGAAGTGAATGGGATGGGTTGAAAATGATAGCCGATCGAAAGTTAATGGCCATAAGGGGATTCACGGTGTGGAGCAGAGCATAGCGCTTTCACGAATACAAGTCCTCATCCGCTGCGCCTTGATTGTAAGGGTTGTTTGAAGCAGGATTGGCGTGAGAGGCTGCATTGCCTTGCTCGGCAGGAAATCTGAAATTCCCACCCATGCCACGAGATTGCTGAAGAGTCTGTGCGAACATCTCGTACTTCCGAATGTCGTTGTCTGTTACAGAGCGACGAGCAAATCTCATCGCCTCTTCAAAGTGACGTCTGCGATTTCAGGCACAGGATCACTTTCGGCTTCCATGGCAGATGGATTACTTTGCCTTTCACGTTCCGCTCTTATTTCAGCACCTTGAACTGAGAAACGTCCCTTGACGTATGGACCGTGGCTCTATATGCGAGAAGAACACGTCTTAGGCTCAAATCCCCGTCATCAGGTTGTGCGTCTTTAGTTAAAGCCTTCAATAGTCCGATCAGCGTGCGATTCGCCCTTCCCACCTGGCCGTTGCCTTGCGGGTGCGCAGGTGCCGTGCGTTTGTCTTTAAGATCTGGCAGATCTTACATAGTTCAGTGAAGAATCGGCTCTTGAAGTTAGGGCCTTGATCGCTATGAACGGATTCAGGCACTCCATGCTGACAAATCCACCGATTGAAGAAAACTGAAGCAACCGTTTCAGCATTTTGTGACTTCACGGATTCTGCCCTAGTCGCTTTCGTGAAGTAATCTACCATAACCAAAATATATCGGTTTCGTCTCTTGATGGGTGGAAGAGGACCCATAATGCCTATACCTACTCTTTCCTCTGAGAAACCGGTGGGCATGGGTTGTAAAGGTGCAATAGCTGTGGGTTGAGGCCTTTTAAAACCACTGCAAGTGGTACAGGTTCGGCAGAGGTCTCATACATCTGGGGTGAGCGGAGGCCACCAGTATCTTTTGCTCGAGGCATCTAGCATCTTCTTTTCACCCACGTGGCCGACTTGCTCCTGTAACTTTTGCAGAACTGTTTGCATTAATGAGCCAGGAACCACCAGACGCTTCGGAGACTGGACACCTTCTTGGCACCATAAAATCTAATCCCCCAGAGAGAGTTTCGACCATTCTTGCCAGATCCGTCTAGCCGCCTTACTGGCCGACATCATCTCTTCCAATGTAGGCTTATGCGAGGATGCCAGGAATTTATCGTATATCAGAGCCGTATCGGAGTCAGTACTCTGCGTATTTCTCCAATGATGTCTGGTAGGATCGCTCAAAAATACGGTGTGCACCATAACGTCACCTGTTTCTGCTGGAGTCGGTCTGAGGGATAGTGCATCCGCATTACCATGCCCTTTTCCTCTTCGGTATTGGACTGTAAAATCATATTGCTGCAGTTCTTCGTACCAGAGTGCAACCGAACGACCGATCTCCCTCATTGCTTTTAACCAGGTAAGTGCCTGATGGTCGGTTCTAACAACGCACTTCCTCGCTATCAGGTAATGTCTGAAGTATCAAACCAGTGAGTAGCTAGCGCACAGCTCATGTTGCGTTGCACTTTTCTGTCTCGTTTTTTTACTGAGTCTTGTACTCACGTAGGCGATGGCATGTTCGCTTCCTTTTTTGTCCTTTTGTGAGATTACACCGCCCACGGCCGCGTCGCTCGCATCCGTATCCAGTACGAACGGTGGAGCGCTCGATTCGAAGTTTGGCAATGCTAGGATCGGTGCGGAGCAGAGCATTAGCCTCAGTTCTTTAAACGCCTCATCGTACTCTTTCTACCACTTAAAATTCTTCTTCGCCTGCTTTTTGGTTGATTTATGTAGCGGGCTGGCGATCTTAGCAAAATTCTTGACGAAACGCCGGTAATAATTTGCCAGACCAAGGAAACTGCGGAACCCCGTCTGGTTGGTTGGTATAGGTCATGTCCTCACTTGTTGCACACGGTCTTCGGTGACTACCATTCCATTCGACGAGACTGTATGTCCCAGGAAGGTGACCAAAGCGTTGCAGAAAACGGCACTTCTTCGGGTTCAAGGTTAACCCTGCATCCCATAGACGATCTAACGCTATTTCAGGTTGGCATTATGCACTTGAATGCCTCCACTAAAAACAGGAATATAGTCAAGATGGATTATGCAATGCTTTGGGAATAAGCCGATCAGATCTGTTTGCATAAGGCGTTGGAAGGTGACCGCTGCGTTGCAGTCCACAGGGCGTCTAAAATTCTTAAAGCTCTTTTGGCAATATGAAAGCTGTCTTTTCTCAGTCTGCTTCTGCCACTTCTACTTGCCAATATCCCGACTTCAAATCTAAGGTAGAGAACCTCTGCGACCCATGTAAGGAATCAAGTGAATCGATTATATGGGAGAGGGGGAAGGCATACCTCTTGGTTACAGCATTCACCTTCCTATAGTCGATGCATAAACGTAGATTGCCGTCACTCTCCTTCACCAGCGCAATAGGAGAGGTCGACGGTAACTTGGACAGCTTTATAACATCGTCTCGAAGCATCTCTTCAACCAGACGGTTTACTTCTTCCAGCAAAGGTGGTGGAATACGTCTGGGTGGTTGCCAGATAAATCTAGCTTCACCGGTATCAATCGTACGCTTGACGATATTTGTTCGTCCCAGTTTTGTATGCTGCTATGAGAAGGTGCTCGCACACTTAAGTAGGAGCTCATGGAGTTCTTTTCTCTCGTCGTTGGAAATGTGGGTCAGCTGCGCATAAAGGTCATCTAGATTGCTCATGGGAATGGCTGCAGCTTCAAAAAGGGCGTTGCAGATGTCATCTACGTCATCTTTTGATAGCGAGGTATCTGTGTTAGCTCTGGTGGCTCGATGAGTGGAAAAGGTTCCTTCTGCAAAATTTAGCACGGCTTTGGTGTAGCGTAGAGAATCAGCACCAAGTATCACGTCCCAGGCAATTTCTGGACACGCAATGAATTTCACTGCCCAGGTTTCCTTCCCTATGCAGACCTAATGATGTCAACCTTCAACTAGGATCTCCCTTCCTTCTGCTGAACGCAATTTTGCAGAAGGGGCGAGGATCTTAACCCTGTTACAAAGGGTAGGGAAGGCTTGGAGGCTCACTATTGACCTAGCTGCACCAGAGTCAAGAAGAAAACTACAGGAACGTCCTTCAAGTTTACCAGGAACCCGCACATAAGAATGGGAGCCATTTGGGAGCAGACAGGTAAGGGAAAAGGAAGATTCAGCCGGTCTATGGGTATAGCGCAGGGAGGCGCGATGAGAAGATGTTGACTTTAACCAGTTTTGCGGATTCTGGAAGATCGAGGACGCCGCTTCTTGGTTGCGAGCTTGACCAACTGACCGAGCGAGTTGGTCTTTGCGTTGCAAAGCTTCTCACCCAAAGCGGGAGGTCGGACACCATGTTTGAACCGGACCGTTACCCAGTTAGAGACCATGTTTGGAGGACAGCCACTAAAAGCGCGTTGCGCCAGAAGTTGAAGTTTCTTAGCGTACACTTCGTCGCCCTCGTCAACTTTTTGGAAACAGAGGAAGAAGTCTCTGGTAAGGGTTTGTTCTTCCCGATTGATGACGTGGTGAGCCAACGTATTGCAATATTGATCAATGTCGGTATCGTGGGTGATGCCGGCGTCGACTGCGGCACGGGGGAGAGCGCGGAGAATTAGGGGTATTCTTTGGCACTACGGATAGGAATGGAAATTGAATTTAGCAGTTTTGAGCCAGTCTCCGAAGTTCATGTCATCCCCGAAAGGAAGGAGGTCCACCGGCGCTGCCACCAGCGTAGGACGAGGGTCGTAGGTCTCCTCTTTCTTTTTCCTCATACTCTTAGAACAACCAGATTGGTTTGATTTCAACATATTTATCAGAGGAAGTGAATCGGGAAAACTACTACAGAGTCTAGGGAGGTGAGGATTAGCAACCGCTACGAGACTTAAAAGACATCGGCTTGCCCGTCCTTAAATTCGAACCGCGCCCCCGCCTCTTCCCTGGAAGGAACATTAAAGCAATATAAGTCTTGATAACTAAATCATTTGATGTAACAGCATGCATGTCCTTTTTTATGTGGCCCAAATATATGAAGGACTAAACTGTTTTGCTGCGTGAAAAATGCATAAGTCTGAGAATTATGTGGGGATTGCATGAATGCTCAGTGGAGGTTTTAGATATTGTGATGCTGAGTGAAAATGGTAGCAAGCTTTCTAAACGACAGCTCAGTATAGATTTAACTAGCTTTAAGTTTTTTTAATGGTTTTGTGGCCCATTTTTAATGTGCATCATATTATCCATCAGTATTGTTGAAATAAATCTGCATTTTAATTTGACCTTGAATTACTGCAGGTTACTCAAGGGTTTGCCAACAGTGTGCCTCTCGCGTGGCATCGTTGTCGTGTTCCGTTAATTGTCTGCTGAATTGGTGTTTCAAACCTGGGTTTTTGTGCTTGAAAAACTTGTGTTAATGTACATCCCCTTTGTCACTTCATGAAAATAATCTTACTGAACCAGGCTTTGTGATATTTTGAATTGGTTCCTGAGCTAATATTTTGTCGTATAGAAACATGCCTCGTAAAAATAATGTAACTGGTCTCAAAGCCAAAATAGCGCAATTAGAGTCGGAGCTCGGGAAGACCCGTCCAACGCGGCAGAAGATTGCTCAAATGTCCAGCGAAGTCGTTAGTTCGAATCCCTATAGTCGTCTTATGGCACTTCAGAAGATGGGCATTGTTGAGAATTACGCGCAGTAAGTCAAAAATATGTTTTTGACTAGCTGTTATTCCAGTTTATTCCGGAACCCAAAAGTTTTTCTGCATCAAATGAATTATTTCTTCTCCCAATCGTCCTCGCATATCTTTTTCGGAGTTCGATGCGTTCTTATATGTGGAAATATACTTCCAGGCTCTCCCAAATATTTTTTAATTTTTAACGATCCGAATGTCATAGGATTCGCGAAAAGGCCGTTGCAATTGTCGGTGTTGGTGGCGTCGGCTCGGTGGCCGCGGAAATGCTTGTCCGTTGCGGTATCGGTCATCTCATTCTCTTTGACTATGACAAAGTCGAACTCGCCAACATGAATCGTCTTTTTTTCCAGGTGCAAATACACTTTGCTTGTTGGCAGATTTTAGGAATATTTTAGCGCTCTTAAATGCTTAAGCTCATTTTCATGCAATAGAGGCTAATCTATATGACCTCAACGCAATCTTGTATTGAAGGGTTTCGCGTAGTTGTCTATACATGCTATTTTCTTTGCCATTTTTAACGCATTTTTCTGCCTGAGTAGTTGTGTATATTGTCACACTTTCTCCTTCGATTTGTGTCCATAAAGTTTCTGCTTCTGAGTTGAAAGCCTCCCTTTGACAAATGTTTGATGTTGAAAATTCACAGGTAATATGTGAGGTGTTCATTCTCTAGGCATGCCAGTAATGAGACGAAATCTGCCCTCTTTTATACTTTTCAGCCCCATCAGGCAGGTCTAAGCAAAGTGCAGGCAGCAGCGGCAACCTTGCAGGCGATAAATCCTGACGTCAATGTGGAGTCGCACAATTACGATATTACCCTAGTGGACAACTTCGACTCCTTCTTAAATACCTTGCGCGGCGACGCGGGAAAGCCCATTGATCTGGTCCTCTCCTGTGTGGATAACTTTGAGGCTCGCATGACCATCAACAGGGCTTGTAACGAACTCAATCAGGTGTGCTATTCCTCACTCTCCTCTTGTAGCCGATCATCGATTCGGCTGGTGTACTTTGTGCCAGCTGGTGTATCTAAGTTTTCATGTCACTGGTTGCTCTACTTACACGGTAAAAGTAGCGCGTACTGTTTAGGTGTGGTTCGAGTCAGGTGTGAGCGAGGATGCGCTGAGCTGCCACTTTCAGCTCATGTATCCAGGCCGGACAGCGTGCTTTGAGTGCATGCCACCGCTGGTTGTGGCTGCGGGCCTAAATGACACCAAGGTGCTCAAACGCGATGGTGTCTGCGCTGCCTCCCTTCCCACCACCATGGCCATCGTCGCCGGTCTCATGGTACAAAATGTTCTCAAATTCCTGCTCAGCTTCGGGGAGGTATGACCGCTTTTCGTTGGCAGCGTCGATGATCTAAGCGTCTCCATAGGCGACTAATGTGTTTCTTTGGAATACTTTAGTGGTTTCTGCTGAATTCACTTCCTCAGCTGTTGTACAACGTAGCGTGGTCTGACCTCAGCTAATTCATTACCTTCCTTCGACCTTTTTGACTGAAATATATGCATTATGCGGTTTCTGTTTGATTACGTATTTCCTAGCTGGATCTAATTTAATCATCGATCATTTAGCTCCTGCTATTACCGATTATGTTATCGCTGTCTGTGTTAGGTAGGTATCCCAAACTTATCACAGTCTCCTAAATTGAAAGTTCTTTGTTTGCATCAGGTCATTGCATCCTTGAATGATTTAAACTGTTTAATAGCAAAATTGAAGTCGAGCACCATGTTTTTTTTACCATACTTAGGGTGCTTTTGCGTGTCACAGTATTTCTGCTCCCACTTTACACATGCGGTTACGTTTTAAAACACTCAAGTCAATCATATTCACTGCAGTGGTTGAAGTCTTAGCCTAGACACGGTGTCGAATGTTGTTACGCTAGGTTTCAAGCTACTTTGGCTACGGCGCAGCTAAGGACACGGTGTACCGAGTGGACCTACGTCCAAATCCCTTGTGCGCAGACGCATGGTGCCGTCGGCGACAGAAGGAACGACGGGCGCAGCTGGTCATACGCGGCCTACCGGAGGACGCGGCGTGGGACGCAGAGGCGAGAATGGTCGCTGCGGCGGAGCGCGAGCGACTAGACCGCATGGCTGCTACCGCTCCCCTCCACGAGGACAATGAGTTTCACATCGAGTTGGTTGGCTCCTCCGCCGTTAATGAAGCTTGCACCGGGGATGCTGCTCCCGTCGCCCCTGTGGAGACGGAAGAGGATGCTAATAAGGCCTCTACTGATGGCCCAAGCCTCGACGAGTTGATGAAACAACTGCGAAGCCTCTGAACTAACTTTCCATTTACCTTCTTCCCTTCTTGAATTGATAACCATGCTTTCGATCCATTCCATGGTCTTTTTCTTCTGATCTGAGTGGTTTGTATTATTAGAAATTGTACTGTTGGTAATTTATTACATTGAAAAGCTTTAATGTATCTTTGTTAGTGGTTACCTATAGCCATAGCTGGTACCAAATACTGGTCTTTGTATTTGTCTTAAAAGAACGTGAACCGAACTGAGATGCCGCCCCTAAGGCATGAATGTAAACTGAAGGGGACGCTGTTCACGCGTTGCAGCCTAGCCATTTCAACTTGTCCACCAAGCGAATTTTCCTATGCTTCGCACTGCACAGAAGTCAATTACAGCTGTCCAAAACGGTCTCCTTTCATGGGTTTCGAATTGTTTTACAAATCTGGATGTTTTCCCGCTTATTTCTACTAAAGCCGTCTTTTGTGGGTAACTAGCTAACGCTAAAAACAGTCGATCACGCACTTAATAGGTATAAAACATAATTAAGATGATTACCACTTGCCTACGGAATCTTTCGGCTGACACGTGTAGCTCTTCGGTGATTCGAAGGTACCCTTCGTCGATGCAGTTTCGAAAGTGAGCAAATGCCTTTTATTAGTAGGTGAATGAATAAGTGGTAGGTGATTTAAAGCATCGGTAACGTCTGTTGGTTCACATCTTTCGCAGTCAATCATCATTATTCATTATTTAAGTATCACGACGATCAGTTTAAAATATGACTTATTTCAATTAGAATTTGGACGATGGAAGTGTAGCTCCGTGGCCCTGTATTTCAATGGCTCCTTCCAACTTCAATCAATGATTTGCACGTTTTTAATCATGTGACATCTAAAAAAATCTTCGAAACCAATTTTTAGCATGCCACAACAAAGTGACAATGACGACGAAGAAGAGGATGATTCTATCCGGGAGGGCATTTACCGTCCATGGAGCACATACCTCTGTAGCTGTCAGGAAAATTGCAGTACGTCGAGATTACTTGACCCGTACTGGTCAGTTTGTTTGAATTTCCATTCCGTGGTCTAACGCTGCTTTTCACCCATAAACTCTAGTGAATTGTTTGTGTGTCCCAACCTTCCTGCCCTGCTTCATGTGCGAACTGCTACACTATGTATTCGGAGTAAAATGGTTTCTCGCGTTCGGACTGGGAATCCTTTTAACCCCACTCGCGCCTTTTCTCGTCATAATTGCACGCATACGAATTCGGCGGAAGCATCAACTTCAGGTAGGATAGTAGCTCAAACCTCAACCTTCCTTTCACCCTAATTACACACGACGGCAGTTTACGTCACCCCCCATCCATTTTTTTTCCATTCAAAACAGGCAGGCAATGATTTTGTTGTTTCGCACATTTAAGCATTGCAATAATTAAATATCTTGGCTGAATTATTACAAATAAATGTGTTTAAGGCGACATTGGTAATTTCTAATGCAACAAAAACTCATGGTCTCTTTTGGCTTAACATCAAAAATAATAGGTGAGTTTATTTACTAATCCGCTATCAGTTTATTCAGTCCTCTATAACATTGGAAGTGAATGACCTGTTAGTATTGAGACCTTATACGCGCAATGCTTTTTCTTTGGGAGAAGCAATGAAAGGGTGATAGTCTTGACCACAGAATTAAACATGACCTTTTAGGGACTGAAACATATGAGCTTCAGTGAGTTTCTGCTTACTGCGCGAAGAAGGTACGGTAGATCCTATTTTATTTATTATCAAATGGCTCACCAAGTTTTTCAGCAGTATTGAGGCAGCGCCGTTTCAATATATCATAATAGCATACACCTTGCCACGAATTTTTCCATGCCATCATCTAGAAAGCAACTGCTTGTAAACGACCGTTGAGAAGGAATCTCTACTGTCAGATGCAGATAATGATTATGCTCTTCTTGATTTATTTGACTTAATAATTCATTGCACTAATTAGTGAGCATTATAAGAGGCAAAATTGTCTTGAATAAAAGGCTCTCAGTAACAACAACTCTAATATCACTTTTGTCCCATTCATAGGGTAACATTTGCGTGGATGTGTGCTGCACCACACTGTGCTTTCTCTGCTCTGCGTGTCAAGTGCGCGATGAGATTGTCACTCTGCGAAGAGACCACCGCTGGCGTCTCGCCTATCCCCCACCCCCAGGACCGCCCAAGCATTCGCCCTACGTTGCACCTCTCTGCGAGGCCTTTGCCAATCGACACAAACGCGTTCCTGAAAGTGATAGTAATACAAGCAGCAGTAGTAGTGCTAGCGACAGTGACAGCGAGAGCAGCTCTGGATCCAGCTACGGGGCCTCGTCAGAGAGCGAATCGGGGGAAAGCAGTAGCTCAGAATCAGTGAATGGCAGAAGGAAAAGGCGAAGCTAGAATATTACTATTTGGTGCCATTCGAGGTGCATCCTCTATTGAACTTTATCTGACTGGGAGGGCATTTTTAGGCTTACGTTGTTAGAACGTTACCAATTCTATGATAATTTCGTGGCTGCTATGTTTACTCAGGAATGGAAAACCGCTGAAGGACAACGAGGCTGTGGTAGTCAAAAACATAAGAACGAAAATATGAGTTGTACATTAAAAGCAGTGTCAGCTACAGTGTGCTTGTGATGGAATTGTCTAAAAGGTACCGTAGATCCTTTAAACTTATCTACAAATGGCACTGGTGCCCTTTAATTTGTACCCATTGTAATTGGAAAAGTGTGAAATGAGCATATCTGAAAAGTTCAGTTGAATGTCTTTTGCGAAAGTTGCGCACTATCGGATTTAAGTAACGGCCAAAAGTTGATAAAACCCAAGAATGTCACTAAGCATGTCTATGCTGGTTTGCTTTGCCAGATCAATCATAACTGAGGCAGTTTCCGCTTTGTTTTTTTCACTTGTGTCGTTACAAATACACAGTGTTATCACATGTAATTCGGGTCATTTGCATACCGAGTTTTTTAGCAGTTTGCTACGGTTTTTTATGAAAAGGGAGAATAGCTCAAAGATGACTTTGCTGTGGCACGCATTTATCCGTATCTTACTGGTAGGTTAATTTCGCACAAAGAACCAGTGCCTTTGCAATGACGTTCATTTGAGGGTCTGTTGTACATTACTCTCACAAAGGTATAGCAACGCAAATTTGTGTGCTACTGATTTAGTTTACAGGAAAAACGATGTTAGTGTGAAAAATGAGTACAAAATGTGGATCCCATAGGTATGAAATGGTAAAATATCATGTTATGTATCACTCCAAAGTGATTCTCAGATCTATCAATAAGTAAATTTGACTTTATTGAGATATCACGTGCTTTTTAATTAAAAAAATCCGAACTGGGACTAAGTTGTGCTGATTCGCGAAAATGGATGAACTAAGGAAGGAAGAAGTTTGTTCTCGTACGTTTGGTGCGAATGTTTGGAAGGTTAAATTTGCTCGGAGTTAAGGCACCCCGTCGGATGCCCTGTTTATAGATGGCCGCTTAAGTAACATTCTCATTAAGCACGTGCCATCGGGTGATCTCTTGTCCCTGGGCCTGCAACATCTCATTCCAATGACTACGTTCTTCCTCGCCGTTGTTTTTGGCGCCTACAAAAAGTCATTACGCTGAATACAGCGAGCTTTGAAGCAAACCAGTACCAGTAGACCTGCCTACCGATAGCGAACCAGCCCAGATTCTCGCTCTTGTGAACATGATGTTTCTGGAAGACGCGCACGAAGAGAGTAACCTCGCGTGGGTTCAGCGCATTCATGTCGAAGGCGAAGCGCTCACCGAACTCCGTGTTGCAGACCAGGCGGACCTCGTGTGTGTGACTGCTGGCTATCTTCTCACCGGTCCCCGAGACCAGAGTCAACGACACATAAACCTCTGTAATACACGCCACATACCGGTTTTGTATACCTTGTGTTTGTTAAGTTACATTGAGCTACAACCTCAAGAAGACAAAACTTTGACATTTAGATGCAAGATCTAAACTAAAGCAGACGATTATTGCTTTCATTTATACGAAGATGCCCTCAGGAATGCAACGGAATGCTCGGATGAGAAGCAAATGCATAAACTAACCATATAATATTTTCTAATCTGTTTGTTATCTCTCATAGTGACACTTCTATTAATCATCGTGTTAAAAAGTACAATTAAATAACAATATTTATTACTGATTTAAAAGTCAGAAAATATGGCTCCACTCTTGTTTAAATGCATGGCCAATTCCAAGCGTAAGATTTACTATGAAAATAACAGTTCTATTGCTTTCACAATTTTATAGTATCACTAAATAAAAACCATCGTGGAATGTAGCGCTAGAGAAGTGAACTATTCTTCTGTCTGGCAAAAGATAACAAATACCTACTAATACCGATGGAGCACACATCAATAAGTCAGAGTTAATAATATATAAAGACCCAAAAGTTACTTAATTATATACAGATTTAAGATTGAACAAAAAGGATGTAAAACGATGTAAGATCGAATCAAGCATGAGGTACCAACTTGGTTGATAGAAAAGGGGAGCTACTGGAATCCCGGAAAGGATCGACTTACTGGGTGTCCTAAGTGAGCTCTCGGTTACCTTCAGTCGGTTGGCGCGGAGGACGTGGATGTTGAGGCGCTTGGTGGTGACATTGTAGGCAAGGCCACAGAGCAGCTCGGGCCACGTGGCCTCTTTGGCCTCAGCTACTCGACGTGCGGTGTCTAACTCCGGCAGGCCGCTAGTCGCTGTGGCCGCCGAGGGTGGTCGGAGGCTGCGCGAGGTGGAGTGACGTGATAATGAGTGTCGGCTAGCCCGACTACCCATCGACAGTCGTGAACCCAATCGACTGGCCTGTAAGCGGCTCAAGTTATCACCACTGTCGCTGTCCTGATACCGTAAAAAACATTAAAACTTAAAACATTTACAAGAGTGTTGCATTTATTCCGTATTTTGTTTAACTACACATTAAACAACATGGGCTTTTCAAACACCGCAGGCTATACTTTTACTCGATAATGCCCCTCTGTGCGCTGGCAACAAATCATTCTCCACACTGGCTTACTATGACTTCAAGGAGGGCTCGGTACTCCAAAATATTAGCAATAAAACGCCGCTTAGTAAATAGAGTTGTTTCGGATGGTTAAGTTGCTTGGGAACCTATAGCCAGCAACAGAGCTGTAAATGCGATTGTGATTGCCTAAAAATGTTCACCTCTAGGTTATTTCAAAAATCTATTAGAATGCCCAAGTTTGTGTGTCGAATACGGTCGCATAGGATTCGCTGAAAACTCTTAATAGATGTTAGCGCCATTTATTTGCGATGGGTGAGGCAGACGGATCTAATGAATTCATTCATTCTACTGCGGCACTTACATATATCTGTCATGTTATCACACCTTAATAGGTTAAACAACATCGTATTAATTTATTCTAAGCTGTTAGGTAGGCACCAATTTTAATCGAAGGAACATTATCAACAGAACTTTTTGCTATGGCGACCTTTTGAAAGTATATTGGACCACTAAGTAAATAAAAAAATTGGGCGTAACAGAATGCGCAGAGCTTGCTATAAGGTAGCTTAACGAACAAAACAACAAACTGGACTTCGATTTCTATTTATCTGCACTGAACTGCGTGCTACAGTTATACTTCCCCTATTTTTGATTAAAAGAAAATGGAAGCGATTTTGCAATCAAAGAAGCGGCCAAACCATAAAGAGGATTTTGATCTCAATGCATAGCTACATTAGTTATTAAATAGGCAGCCTAACCGAGTCTACGACGCTTTCGTGTCCAACCTTGATGGCGAGAGCGAACGGAATGTCGGCCTCGCCACCACGGAGGTTCAGCGCAGTTAAGGCGACTGTCGACTCGGCGAAGATGAAGTGACGTCGCATTTTTTTACAGCCATACAACCGTAGTCTTAGTGCCATCTTCGCTAGCTCATCTAGTAAAGTGGGTTGCAAAAAATCATTATTATTATAAGGTGGCTCCATTTCCTATCAAATTTTGTATTCTGAAATGCCACATATTTTCGTGTTCAAATGACCTGATGACATGCAATTAAAAGAAGCATTTAATGATAGAGGTAAATGGTGGTCCCATGCTGTGCTATCATCCTATTTATTTTCAGGGGAAGCTCAGCATCCTGTGGCATAGAGTGAAGAAGGCTCTCTTCGTTAGATACTCTGTGCCCTGTACTCAACAACAGATTGCTCATAAAAGGTTAGAAATTTCTATTTCACTAGTTACGCTAAGTAAGTGCTATTAACGGAGTATTCTGACAAGAGGGTCGTTCATCCATTCAACTTTCCGAATCTACGAAAAATGGGTGTTAGAAATTAACCAAAACAGTCAATTACTACAAGATCCACATTGTTACTATCAGTCCTCCGGATCAAAAACATTCACATTTTATTTGTTTGCCTTAGACTTCATTCAGAAGTCATAAATGATTTATTGTTAAAAGACGAATAAACCATGCATGCATTATTGGCCATGCATTTGGGTGGAGACTCCTTATCGTGAAAGGCCAGTAATCGCATGTCTTCAGATTGTCCTGATTTTATTGTCTCACCTGGTGTTATTGCTTTGAACACCGCCTCCTCATTGAAGACTGGATTGGGAGCAGAAACAATGTGTGTGTGCCAGCGTTTCTTCTTTTTCAATCCAAGCAGGGCTATTCTAACCTGAAGGACAAAACGACGCGATTTAAGAAGGTTGATTTCATGCAATCCTTAAATCTTCTACAGTTGAGTATAATTGGATCGCATTTGAAAGGACGACAGTTTGTTGCACCCAATTTTCTTTAATAACAATGACACAACTGTGTTTGAAATAGACTACTGCTCGATGACTTCCGGTTTAAGAAATCTGGCTATTGATATCAGTAGCACGAAGAACTTATAACACCATGATGGGATTTTGTATTACTTAAAAATTTGTTGAGTAATATCAGTCGTGCGTGGAAAAAAATATTTTTTTAAGTATTTTTCATTCATTACTCATTATCATACCTCAACTTTACCCTACGATGTATTCATTTGCCATCCAACTGTTTATGTAATTGTGAGTTATGTGTGCAAATGTTTCATTAAATAAATTTATTAAAGTTGGTGATATTGGTCACATCATCCCTACAAATAAACAGAACTTGAGTCGTCTGGGAAGACTCCATTTAACAGAACTGTCCAGGTGTAGATTTATTAGAGGTTATCAGAAGGCCCGAAACCCTATCAGCCAAGCACCAAAACACCAGAGTAGCTGGAGTAAATATCGAGATTGAAGAGGTCAGTATGTTTAACCGTTTCGCTGAATAAATATGGATACTACACAAACTTCAATCGCTCTTTTTTAAAGTGATCTAAATAATTCCCGTTTTCCATACACTTATTTTATTATGCTTTTTGGTAGTCCACAAACACGTGATCTTTACCCATTCTAGGCATGCAATAAAACGCTCTATAGCATAATTCATGATGCCATATGATACGGAGTGACGATTTTTTGGCGGAAATCTACCGGAAGTTCTCAAGCATAAACCATATATCTCTGTCATCCATTTACCGTTAAAGTTGTGAATCATTTTAGCAAATGTTATTAAACAGCGGAACTCGAAATATGCTTTACAAATAACAAACCTGATAGCTTTGCGAGCCGGCCTGCGCCTCACTTGGTGCGTTGTCGACTCGGATGACTTTGATAGTCAGGTCCGAGGTCTTATAGTCCATCTTTATGTGCGTGTGGATAGTTACGTTTGCCGGTAGGTTCAAGGGCTCCTGCACAGACTAGAGACGAAAAATAATAATGACTAATTATTTTTGCCTTTGGGGAAAACTTTCCTGTGGAAACGTCAGAACACACTCAAAAGATCGATGTGGAAGAAAACGGCAAACCCAAAGCAATGTGGTGGCGTACACTTTTTGGGGACTGAATTGGAATGGTGGAATGGAAGTACTTAGCTAATCTTATTGATGATCCGGTTCGCGCGGTACCACTTGGGGAATGAAAGCTCAACTGATCGGGCTAAGGGCAGGACAAATTGACTAATAATTTGGTTTTGAAACTCGAAGTTAATAGCCCAATTATCTAAACATTCACCTCATTTTAAAAATTATTCTTATATGCCTTCGATAACTGATCAACATAATTTAGATCAAGGAGCAATGAAATTAGTCTCTTACGGCTTCATTAAAATGCGCAAATAATGTGGAATTTCTTTTTATAGTGCTGTATTTTATCTGGAGGGTCCATGAAAAAAATGCAGGTCGTTTATTAATTACGATTTTGAAGAAAAGAAACAACACGGTAAAAAGGGAGACAAGAACTTACAAATTATGCATAAACGATAAATTATCAAACACCATGCCATTTATTTCATTCATAGTTATCATAAAGGATTGCTCCTCATTTTGGACGCTTAGATACCACGCTCACTATTGTTTCATCAAATCTGCTTTTTAAATTAATGTCATATAATCTGCCTTTAAGATACTTTGGCGCGGGCCTTATTATTCCAAAGCCAAAATCTATTCAAGAATTCAGCTCTGACAGCAGTCTTTCGTGATGCAGGGTCTCTTGTAGGAAAATGTACCAGGCTGCTTTGCGCCTGCCATTGGTGGTCCTTTGAGTAGTGCTCCTCCGCAAATTCATCCATCGTTATAGACGGCTGGCTGGCTAAGAGTAAAAAAAGACTAATTTTGACATAACTTTTTTACTTTGCCTTATTGCCATTTTCTTATACGCCATGTACAACAGGGAGACAAGATAGCGAAAACGTGAGTACAACAATTCTCCTCAGGTCAGAGAGTGTCGTAAAGTGACTTATTCTCCCATTCACTTGATCGACCCAAAGGAGTTACTGAAATATACTTAGTTAATGCGGAGGGCTTTCAGGTGTTCTGTGATGAGGACCTACCAGGAGGGGTGTCCGGGGTTGTTGGTGTTTGTGCGCCGCTTCGTCGACTGGCAAGAGCTGAGAGGGTGACATTCTCGTGGGTGTCCGAGCCTTTGGGTTTGTCCTTACCCACCCAGCTGTTGTACATTGACTCTGCAATTAGACACTTTACTCGAAGGATGGGCAAAAACTGACATTTTACTGTGATTCGTATATGTGTGTTTGATGAAGATCCCTTTTAATCATACTTTCCGGTAATGCTGCAAGTGCAATCTTACGAAGGCATCTTAGGGTTAGGCGGTGGATGCGTTGGGAAAAATTACAAGTACGGCCATAGAAGCATTGGTTAATGATAAAGTTCTCTCATTAGATATCAGACAGTGTGGGTTTGAAGTTGCTTTCCAACATTACATCGTAGCTGATTTCCAATTTTTAAACCTTCATCCTAGTCCAGGGGCAAAGTGAACACTAACCCAACAAACATATATGTAAAAAAGGACCAAAACCCAAGAAAATAGTAAGGAAAAGGTTATAAATCTGTTTTAAATCAATCTTACTAGACTTACTCTCATGAGAATATAATTAGGGAACTTAAGTTGCCTTTTTCCCACACTTAAGGGGTGTCAATTGTCGCAGACTTTTGAGATCAAAATCGTACCAACCCTAACTCTCTGCTAACAATCACATACACTAAACTATATTGCTGACCTCTCGCAAGACCACCCTTTAACTTTTGCCCTTTGCAATTGAATCAGCAATTTTAGAGTGCAGTGAGTCGGACTTGTAGAGATTATAATGTAGCCGGGACACGCAAACATACCTGCATTAGTGGGTTTCGAATATTGTTCTGCCAGGCCAGCTAAATGCCAAATATACATTCTTTTAATGATGCGAGTAAGCCGCCTTTTATAAAAGTCAGATACCTAAATATTCAGTGGCTTTTTGGCAGTCGTAAAAGATTATCCACTCGTTTAATGCTTAAGCCTCGCTGTGCTTATTAACTTTGCTTTAATCGTGCAGAAACAGGGTATGGGGTAAAGCATCATAATGTTTTGTAGACATTTGTGCATACTCAACGCCTGCACAGATCAGTCTCACCTAACCCTTCGCTTATATAACATTCAACCTCCCTAAGTAATCTTATTAAGTTTTACCAAAATGCAAAGATGATGGTTCGCTGCCTTTAGCGTTGGAGACAATAACGTGCTTCAGAGAGACGGAGAACGAAAATTTGGGTGAACATTTAAAGCTCAATACTTGCAGCAAACTTACGTCTGCCCGAATCATCTAGGTAAAGAGGAAGTATTATCAGCTAATTTGCAATCAAATAGCACCATTAATCGCGTCTTAATGCCTTTTAAGTTAAAAAATGATGCATCTACCAATGTTTTTCGTCCTCTGTCAAAATCCTCAACATAAATTCAGCTTTAGCAAATAGAAATTATGTGGATCCTGTATTTTCTGTTAATAACAGTTTCAATAGGCGAATAAAATGAATGTGGTCGTTTTGACTACTTCAAGTGATTTTTATTCATAAAGCAAAAAATGTAGAATAAGGCACTAGATTCCAATAAACACAGGTAACCAGTTTTCAGGGTGTAAAATGAAATGAACAGCTTGTAGACTCACCTTCAACGCGAGATGGTACACTACGTTTTACACTGTCTAAAAGAGCGGAAAGATGCACAATTGTAATCTCTTCTCAGTTACAATTCATTCTTTCACTTGAAGGTTTCAATACATCTCATCGCATATATATGTAGATATGAACACATTCTATAAAACCCTCCTCTGTGCTAACGTACGATTTGCCTAATTACAAAATCTAGCAATTATTATTTCTTTCGTTTTTCTAGCAAAACTTATATTAGATAAACAGAAACGATTATTCTACTGTTTTTCTCTCGCCACTGAAACGGCAAATAGATGAATGAGGACTAAGTCCTCCGAGAGAGTTGACACTGTCATAGAACAGCACAAGCGTTCGGATGTAGGCAAGCGTGCAAGCATTCGCCAGTCTTATGCGCATAAGCGCTCACTGTAAAGAATATCAGCCAAGCACTACCAAGAACATTCTTTGTTTAAAAATAACGTAATATAGCTAAGTCAAACACACCTTTTTGTTTCAAAGGAAGTTTATTGACATCACCTGATGCAACTAAAATCAAGAGCGGATTGTCAGGTCAAAGATGCCAAAAATTTTCGAATCCAATTTTGACAAATCATCAAAGAGGTACCAAGAAAAGCAATACAATGTGGAAAATCACAGCGGACAACAGTTATGCATCATAATTTCTAGACTAATGACGAATGTAACATTCGTAAAACCTGGGTTCTTTGATTAAAAAGAGATTAATTCATAAGCATTGCAGGAAATGTTAATATCACAAAAAATAGCGCATGAAGCATCCAAATACGAGCAAACCCAGCTAGGCTTGTAAAATTTTTAAAATTGCTTCATGCGTCAATTTAGCGTATTAGATAGATTCACTTTTTCAATGAGCCTGGCCAATGTGATATAAGGGTGCCCAAAATAATATGCTTCTAATACAAGCTTAGTTTAGTATAAAAGTATGTAGCAATAAAATGCCAAATCTAGCATGAATAAGAAACTCCGATGTGGATAGGGACCAAACTCTAATTGTAAATGCTATGCCCAGCAGACCACCTTCGTTTTTCTTGGACGTTGCATCGGCAGCGTTGGAGATAACTAAAGAAATCGCAAGAAAAATTACAGTTCATCTTATTCGTGTTCTTTTCCTACGTCAGCACAACTCCTTAATCTCATATTAGCAAGTTTTAAATGTGACATATTTTACCACTTATCTTGGCTAAAATTTGAAAACTTCGGACACGTCAAGGAAATCGTACCTGAATGACCATCAGCTGCATCTCTTTCATGCACGCTTCCTGAAAGTTAAGCAAAAACAGAGATGTTTGGCTCTCACTGAAGTCCGCTATTCTTCAGTTTTTACGATGAAGCAATGCCATGCTCGTAGTAAATTACTAAAGTCAACGCAAATAAGTGCTAATAGGAGACGTATAGTTTCCTGGGATATCAGGATGTTGGCAACTTCTTCAGGACCGAATTTAACTCACCAGCTGGAGTACTTGTTGGCGGTTGGACTTTAATAGCTGAAATTATGATGGAAAGATTAGACAAATTTACTAAAATTGCACTTCAATCAAGAATGGGGGTGTAAAATATTATGCAATTGTCACACATATCATGTCACATGTGTGCATTGCAATCTACCACAAGCATCAGAGCAACGCTTCACCCCTCCCAAGATTGTGAATGGCACGTGCTTTGTCATAGATAACTTTCGAAACACAAATCCACTTAGATTCCACATCAACACCAATGCAACGGTCGTGTACCTTCTAGAGAAGGAAGACATGAGGGCGGAATGGATTTGTCATTACTACAGGAGGAAAGCTACAAATAGTCGCTTTAATTTGTCAATCAAAAAAAAATTCTGCAATGTCCAAAGGATCCTTTCTAATTCCGCAGAAAATCCCAAAACGGCGTGACCCAATAAGTGAATGAATGCTACCGACTTTGTGGCACATTCCTTCCGTAACCCATTTATTCATTAAGTGGCTCTTGTGTAAATTACTACTTAAATTTATTTAAAAGTCAGTCTACTTTACAAGGTTTTATCAAATAAGCATTAAGTTCACCTGAACCTCGGTCAGGTCACATCATCTCCACTATCTGTTTGGCTTTAATACATTAAATAGTGTAAATGATAGTAAAAATCTACAGAAATTTTGCCAGCTGACACTTGTGTTCGTGAGCCTTTTTTGCTTTGACTATATTTGATGCTTAAAAGGATCATGCCGGATAAGACCGCATTGATGCAATACTTTGTGGGGCTGTCGGTGAAGCCTTGATCATTCAAAAGCTGTTAGGCTTGACATGCAAATATGGCGCATTATTGTTTCGCGCAAAAGATGTCAAGGACTTCCAAATCGCCATTCAAACATGTTCCCTTTACCTACTCAATTCGCAGGTCTTATGCGTATTTGTACCTCTGATTCAAACTATCATTTTAAAACACGAAAGTTTCATTTTGTCATTTTGTCTTATAAAAACCAAGCCCCGCCTAAAATTACCTAAATAAATGAAACTTCTGCGTCTTAGATAACAATGATTTTGCACACTGGTTATGATGCCATCACTATTGGATGAGTGGATCTGTCATGCTTTCCTGTTACACCGCCACTTAATTATCGACACACAGATATACCTCTTATCCACTGTCTAGTAAAATCGTAGAAAGCAAGGAAATAAACAAAAATTCTTCTTGATAAACGTAATGAGAGTTTTTATTATACCAAAAAGTGTGGGAAACATGGTAGTTTTATCTTTTCAATATTAAGAAACAGCAAATGGTAGACCCAGTGTGTATGCCAATTTCCACCAACGTTAATGATATATGGGCGAATTACTAGGAACGCATTATTAAAATACAGTCAAATTTTCGATATTGGAAAATCTTGTAGGCTCGAGAGTATCGATGGTTCTGCTCCTGATCCACTGTTATAAGCTAATAGGCAGACTGATGAAGGCGACTCGTCAGTATTGGCACACAATTTCAAAGTATTTCGCAGAGGATTCACTCTTATGGTATTCCACTCCCAGTAATTCGGAGTGTGCTACCAGTGGTACATCTACTAACCTTTCATCTTAAAGCCCGGTAAGATTGGTGTTTTGCTTGAAAGGATGCAGTAAATCAAAGTGGAATTATCGAGTTGGCGCATCATTGAACGACCCTGTGCATTTGTTGCTTTCGTTAAATAAATTAAAGTGCTTGGTCATGCTCCATGCATCCTTGCCTTGGAGGCTGCATCGAAAAAACCACCAAAGCTGTGAGGTGATCACGTGATAATTGAATCAAATGGGCAAAAGATGGAAACAATATGCGTAGTAATTACCTAAAGAAGTATTTTATTTCGTCTATTTGCATAACAGTCAGGAAAAGGCACCAGACCGCTCCCACTTTATGCTCCCGCTTATAAATTAGACGCAAAATGTAGACTGCTTGTAAGAATAGTTTGTATGCGATAGAAACTGTTAGTGCTAGTAACTCAGAAAAAATAAAGCAGCATATACCGAAAGGTTGAGTTTACAATTTGCTTTGGTTGTGTCAAAGGATTTATATTACCTAATATAAGGTGAATTTACCACGGCGTTAAATCGGAGAAAAACCCAAAATAATTCAGAGGCTCATCGAGGACTGCTATGCATACGCAACCAGGAAGTAAGGCGTCAATTCATTGGGGCAGCTGCATCCGAGGGTGGGCAAGAAAGGCTGAATATCTTTCCGATGGTGGGTGCCAATAACGGCGTTGATTGAATGGTCTGCGCGATTCCAAATCGCAATGCCCTCAAGCCCCTAAGAAGCTCGCCATTATAATTGCAAAAAAATGTTCCAGATTAGCTCTAAATTCTGATATCATTTTACACGTTTGATGAGTCATTTCATTAAAATCATTCAACCCATCTACCCGACGCATGGCATAGATGCGTTAGAGTCGGATATAAATGAATTTCATCGTCTCCTGAAACTTATTGCTTTATGTAAGGCAATTGGAGATAGTTACAATAAAGATTTGTGCTCTGGTTGATAAAGAACACCAAAATAAACTTACGTAATAAGGTGGCTCTTGCAAACACAAAATGGTCGTTTTTTGAAATGACGCATCCCCATGTGAACCCCGTGTTGATCTTTAAAACCCACTGATAGCTTCATAGAGCTTCACTTGAGTGGTTAACACTACTTTAAGGCCTGTATAATAATCAAATTTTAAAATGGCAGGATGATCAGCGATAAAATTGAAGGCACACCTTTAAGTCTTATTGGAGTATATGACTTGAGAATACGATAGTGTGCACAGCCGAGAAACCATGTAAAATTGCCTTGGATTATGTTAGGTTCCAGTCACTCTTAGGATTTTTAAATGATAGGTGTTGTCGAATACACAGAAGATGACTCACAAGGGATTTCAGGTGGTGGAGAACTTGGTTTTTGCGGGGCGAAGCAACAGGAGAATAATCCACCCCAGCTGCTGGTGTTGGCGGACGGCTGGTTCGACTTCTGTAGCAGCCTAGCCATCGGCTAAGGAGCAAACAGCTTGAATATGTTGATCGCGTTTTAAAACCACCCCTAAGGCGCACACAAATGTGCGCGCAGAGGTGCGCAAATGATCGCAGAGTGCGAGGAGAGCACCATGGAGGCTGACCTGCCCACCAATGGGAGGGGTGAGCACGTGGCACCTGCGCCCACGCATCGGTGTGTGCACCTGCTCGGCTCCAAGCTAAGAATTGTGCAAACCCCCAGTCAAGACACATCTGCACACCTTCCATGCTCTACATACCAGCAAAAATCTCAAGTAATCTTGCAAGCACTCGAAGCGTAACCAGTGAAAATATGTCCCTTACTCAGCTGCATGACATACCACTCCAAGGGTTCCTGTCACACATTATTCTCAATTTTTGGCAGAAAAAAAACATGTTTGCTTTTATAGTCATGTCGCTTAAGAGGTTAACTTTTAGTCCCTAACTTGTTTTCAAAAAACACCTTTTTTGGGGCCTCAAATCTTAATCTGTTTTTTAAAATTTGGTAAACTCTGCGATTCACATGCCTTTCTGCTACGTGAGTCTGCACCAGTAAGATTTCTACAAGCTCGTCGAGCGTATTGCCCATTTCTTATCCGGTTTGGTCAAAAAACAAAGTGTCGTGCATGACAGATTTTGAGTATTCCCTTCTCTAATGAAAGCACATTTTAGCTGATAGTAAAACTTTAGAGTAGAAGATTACTAAATTTTAAGCAAAATAGGTCTCATCGATGATAGAGAATGACCGACCAAAATTACCTTATCCCGCCTTTGAAATTGAGTTTACGGTCTCACAATTGAATTGAACCAGTAGTCGAACTTTGGCTTCTTCTGTCGGTTTGTGTAATACCACAATAAGCTACATATGTCAATGTGGATATGCACATATCACTGTATTTTACCAGCAAGTAATGCAAACATTTGTTATCGGCTATGTAGGCTCTTACCTTGTCAATTGGCCTGACTTTACCAACGAATTTTATGCCAGATTTTGACTCACCTACGTCAAAAAATGGCGCCATTGATCATTTAGTACGAGTTCCTAAAATATCTTAAGCCAACTTTTTGGCAAAGATTGGAATAAAAATTTGCTATTATAAGATTGTACAATGATCCAATATATTTGGTTTTTAAAATTTGGTAGCTTTCAGATATGCCGACCTTTAAACAATTCATAATCCCCCACAATTGTTAAAAATAGCGGAAATTATATCTCTTGTTATCCTTCTACATTGTTTGATCTTAAACGTCCTTTTGTTTTACTTTTCTATTTTGTGCGCGCAGTTTCATTTCAGGGTGCATTGACATTTATGGAAACCGTAGAATAAACACAGCAGCTATTTCAGCTGCGCTTCCTGGTCGGTCTGCCTCCAGTAAATTCGTACTTCTTTTACTTGGCCTATTTTATCATCATTCCAGCGTACTAACAATCTCAGGCCGAGTGTTCAAGTTATCCTAACTAATGTACAAAATTCATAAAATGCATTTGTTTGCCAAGGTTAAGATTTTAATTATTAATATTGCCAAGACCATAAGAATATTGTAAGATTCAAGCATTCCTATTGGCTTTCTTAGTTATTTTATTGTCGTTGAAATTGCACGTTTCCCTACCCAATTTACTGAATAAAAAGCCACGCACACATCATGGTCCAGTAAATCATTTTTGAGTTTACTTTAATGAATGAGAAGGTTAAAATGGTGGGGCAGTATTGTGCATATCACAACCTCAAACTGGAAAGCAAAAAAAATTATTGGTTCTTAGAAGTAAGAAGAACATTTATGTCTTTGGGTTGTGTGAGACGCAACTAGATAGGCCAACAAATCTCATACTATTCGGTATTACTGGCTTTGCCTTGGATCGCTCCAATCTCCAACAGATTTATCCATATTTTAAGCATATTCTGATCCTAAATAGAAGCATTCTTACATCGCTGTTCAACTGGAGAGCGGATGAAGCGATAGAGAGTAAAAGCATTAGCAAAAGAAAAATTTCGCAGCGTTGTATTTGCGTACTTCTGCTACGATTTCTACCGAATGCACTCAAATCAACACCCTTTCTATATGTTATTCTGGGGTAGTCCGCTTATCCTTTCACCATTTTATGTTGCATTTGTGTGCAATTCTTTTTTCTGTTACTCGTATCCGTCAGATTCAAAGGTCTGTCGGGGTTGTGCACTTCTCCCCATCCGCTTGTAGCCCATGCTGGCATTTTCCACTAGAGTTTCAGATTTGTCCTAGGGATACTACGAAGCGACTTTTCTCGACTTTGTTCACTCCTACACCTTCATCTTTTCTTATCTTAGGTATGGTATTACACATTATGACTTGAAAATCAAATCTACATTTTACGTGGTAGATGTCCATTGAAACTGCCTAATAGTAAGTAACTTAAGAAGTCTACTCAAGTCCTTGGAAGGACAAGATCATCTACATAGCTAGACATGGTAATTGCAACTTGTTATTCCGCTTCTAACACCATAACTAGTCTTCCAGTGTTTTTAGTGAACCTTATGATGAGAATTGTGGTTAATTACTTTGATTTTGGCTTTTTCAGTGTGTTATTTTCCTGTCACTACAGAAGGTCCACTTTTAATCGGCGAAATTAACGTAAAGTAGTAGATACATGAAAACTGGTATGCGCATAATTTAATGGTATTTAAACGAAGTGCAGTGTTGACCAAGAAAAAAAGGTATTTCAAAGACACATCAAAAACTGGAAAGAATGTAGTAGTTCCGTCTTTTTATGCTGATACCGTTGGTTTATAGAAAATTGGAGCAGAATCAGAGTTTGTTATCTCCTCGGCGATCGACAACTTATTCTCATTCAAGAGGTTCCTTCACTCCGTCTGCGTGTCACCTAAAAGGTGAATTCAAACGAATATTAAAATACAGCATGGGACTCAAAAACTTGCACCTGAAAGTTGTAATTTATGGAGAAAAAAACCACATGATTTTATCCATGCAAAGATATCGACCTTTACCTGAAATAACTTCTTCCCACTTAAAATTTTTGATCCAAAATACAGGAAAATTGATGCCAACACCCCTGATGATATATTATAGCTTCCTGAGACTTAGGGATAAAAGAAGATATGATATTCGAGCCGAATATACATTTTCTCGATAAATTAGGGCTTAGAGCTACTATCTCGATCCGAAGGCCAGGTCCCCCGGTACCAAGACCGAGGTTTAAACAATCGGATTGTATTGTATTACAATACAATCATACATAATCTCTAGAACAACAGTTATAATAGCATGACTGCCATGAATTTTACAAAGGGCAAAAACTTCGAGTGCTTAATATCAGAGTGAAACTGTAGAAATAGGTTTGCATAGAAATGCTTTGTCAATAGACATGCAACAAAAATAGACATTCAATTATCCAACTGCATGATTTGGACTTCATCCTACACTTCGCGAATACACATGACCAGGTAGTGTTCATAGTACCGGAACTGTTCCAATTCTAGTTGCAAGCATTAAGAATCACTGGCAGCCAGCAGGTACACTGCACCTGCGACGGTAGTTAATGCCATTAAGTTCTCATATTTAGGTACGAGGCATTGTTATTTCAAGGAATGAAATCGCTGTTCCGTTGTTCAATGAAATGTAACATGCACGCTGAATGATACTGCCATCACCGTGGTTTAGCTTGAAAATTTGTGACCCGGGCTGGCGGACAAAGTGCTCGCAGTCACCCGCATGAAGTTATTTTGCGCGCATTCAAAAAGTGTCAGAGACCAGTGGCCTGATGAAGTACAAATAAAACTGTAGGTATAAAAGCACCCACCCTTATTTACACTAGTAATGCTACCGAGATGCCACACTGCGGTAAGAGACCTGCGATTTCTTTCATTTCCTTTATATGTGTGCTAAGTCCAGCAATCACAGTGGATCAAAGCTAAAATATCATTGTGCCAAGTTCCGAAAATAAGGAGTAGTTTTCGATTGCATGATCTGTGTAATAAACGCTTGAAGGCTTTTTACCTAGTGCTGTGATCGCCAGTTGCCAAGTCTTGATATTTGAACTATAATATAAACATATTTAACTGCTAGAGAAGGCTTTTATCATCGCCTAGATGGAAGGGTTCAAATTTAGTTAGTCTAAAAAGATTACAAGATCATCAGTATTATAAACACTTTTAGCGAAACCTTTTGCTTAGATTTATGGGCCTGAAAAGGTAGAATTCATTTTTAAATACTGATCTCTCCATTAGCTACCTATGCTTAATTATGACGCTTTTCAACTTAATAGATAGCTGCCATAAAAAAAAGGTTTGCACGCTGGAGGTGAGTTATATGTTATGTTTCAAGTGTAAAAGTAGAAGTAGGAAGTTCTTCTCATTGGCTGCAAACGATCTTACGCTTTTTCATTTTTTAGCCGGGGCCGAACCCATTCAGAGCCCCAATAATCCTCAATGTCTACATAAAGTATGACGAACGCAAACAGGCGCTTGATGTGCTAGTTAGGAACCTACAAAACACTCCCCTCAAAAGAAAAGTCAGAGTACGTTTTTGGTTTTAAATGATGGCGAAATAAATGTGCATTTACAAGTTAGTAGGGATGGTGCAAGTGAAACTGCGCACATGTAAGAGGTTACCAAAACATCAGCATATCTGCCTAAAATTATTAAAGAAGCGTTCACTTAGATTTGTAAAAGTGGATATTGTATGTGATTTTGATCGTCAAAGTTCTAGTCTGATATCCTATCTTGTGGAAAATTAAGAGAGAGCGGGTGAAGAAAAGCGGAACAAACACATTTTTTTCGGACACATGCATACATGTACGCAATTCATTTCTAATTTTATTCCATGTTCGCAAAAGTGTTTATATGAGTTGTGTGAGTGATCTTGGCATAAAGTGATAGGAGCACAGTGGAGGTGTGAACCTCTGTTGCCTCGTGAAAAGATTTTCTACTCCCTCTTTCTGATTAATTACCTGATTGAATCCATCCTGACTTTTTTAAATCCCCATATGAAACCAAGGCAACACTAAAACGCTGATGTCGACCACTTTTCTTTAAGGTGAATACCAAATTTATACTTCCAACTAACCCCCAGTTAATGGAAGAAAAGAAATTGCTAAAACGATTTCGGTCCCAGGAAAGATGCCCAGACGGTGTAGTTATTGTTGACGCTCGCCGAACTTCAAAGAAGCGAGGACCAAATCCGCGCTTCAATGAGGATTTCCACTTTACTCCTCTCATTGCAAGTAGGTTATGAGTTGCAATTTTCACTTTATGTCTCTTAACTGTGAAAAGTCAACTGAAATTTCCAGCATTTAGGCCGAGTATTTTTTATAGCTTGCCGATTTTGTGTTGGATCGCTCAATCTCTCTTCTTGTAAGATAAACGGCTTATCATAATTAGATAAAACTTAGAAGTGAGTTGAGTCTCGCCCCTTTTCATGCGCTTTATTTGAATCGCATGATGCCAAACCGCTATCTTACCGTGTTCTTCAGCAAATAATTAGCAACTGCAGCAGCATTTTGTGCCTATTAAGGAGTAAATATTAAAAATTAATAATATTAGTCTTGCTTCTAGCTCAATGAAGGGCATGTTAGGTGAATGAATTAAATCGCATTAAAAAGGACGAGTGTCGCATTTTCAGTTTTGCCAACAAATAAGACCTTACAAGCTCCGCTCGTTTTAGAGAAAGAATTCATACGGGTACCAGCATATTCGTTCCCAGTACTTTTTAGAATCTAAATGGATATGTGAAATAGAACTTTTCAGGATTCTCGCGGTGTATTTTAATGTCTTCCTATAGCGTCTGATTTATACACTTTTTAAGTGCTGTCAAAAAAGCAATTTAGGAATAATTTATTCTTTCTCATTTAGGGGACGTCAAAATGGGGAAATTGGTTTTCGACATTTATGAAGTGAAAAAGAAGCATAAATCCTTTCTGGGAACGATTGAACTATGCGGATCTGAAATAGAATTAAAGTGCGACATGGCCTACAGCCTTTACCTTCACAATCCGACTGTAAGTCTTCAATTTCCATGAACTTTAAAAACTAGTTAATTTGTATGATCCTAGATTTGGGGTAAAATCTGCATATTTGAGTCTTAAGACTTATTTGTTGTCTGAAGAGTTGTGTGCGTTAGTGCCCCGATTTAAGCAGAAAAGTGCAATCTTAAATTGAAAGAGACCGACGTTAAAGTTATGACCTATACTGCACCAGTTTCAAAGCACCTTCTACCACCACTCCTAACCCAACGTTTTTCAATTTTAGTGCGGGTCAACTCTGGTTACTGCTCGGGATAGAAGTATGAATTTGGTGTGCACTAATGACAACACATCTTTAGAAGAAATTAGGCGCTGCCTGGTGTAGAATGCTAACATATTCCCAAATTCCTACCCTTTAGCCTTGAACGGATCCTTTGCACCAGTCTCAATGATCTGAAATTTTCATGCACCATGCTTAACTGGCATTCATCAGATGATATGCCAAGACACAAGCAATAAACTTGCCAGAAGCCGATTTTACATGTTAAACAAGTAAATAGCTTGGTGACGCAATGACCTACACCAAATAGAATGAGCGTACAAGGTTCTCTGAGGAGTGGGTAGCAGGTCTATCATTCCACAAATCTGAAATTTTGGCAATCCCTCCGATAAATATGCTCTCACTCGTTTGTCATTTAAAATACAGAATTGGAGTGATTCATGAACATCATCCCATATTATCGAAGAAAGTGGAAATACTGCTTTCAAATCATCTAATACATCGTGTATTGCACCGAACACGAAATTCTTGTAAAAATAATTCCCAAATTCTCATCTTGACAACTGATCCAACAATTTATAAGCACAATGATGAGCAATTTGAAATTAACAGATTTTTATTTATGCTTTGAATAGCACCAATTAGGCATCTCAATGATGCTTTGTAATTACTCCAGTAATTTTGCCGTCACACGAATCTCACAGTAAGCCTTGGTGTAGTTCTTCAAAGTGGAGCCCCAACTCCTCAGTGCCATCTTCGCTAACTGAAACGTCTAAACCGATGTTTACTTGAAGAAAGACCATGCCTTTTCGTAATCTGAAACCCAACTTAGGCTTACTAAATTGCATTTACACACAGTCGAATGCTAATGGCATTTGGGCGTATGCGCTAAGTTATACTTGACACTTTCGATCTTTAGCGGCATTCCAAACATTTGCACCAGCGTTTTTTAAAAACTTTCACGAACTAGGGACCATGCTAACCATGTTAAATTCGCCTTAATCTCGGCTCAAAAGTAAGCTCTAAAAGTTTAAAAATTAATTTTAATGGAGGTTTATCGTGATTTTTGACTTTTTTTGCATTGTCAGGTACATCATCTTCGTCGTCGACGCCATCGTCATCATCATCGTCATCGACATCGTCGTCATCATCACATTGTAAGGGTTCTTAAGTAATGGTCTGAGAGCATTAATGCGGCTGGATTTAGAGTAGATTTCTTGTGAAACATCAACCGACTTTATCAGAGCTAATTTGGAGTGGAATCAGAAATGTTGTGAAAAATATTTGGAGATAGTATAGTATTATAGCCCATAAAAAAGATGGTCAAGGTAACGAAAACGGTATAACTGCAGTAAGTCGAGCGTTGTCAAACTAGAATAATCGCATGGTTAAAAAAGAGGATTTTTAGAAAAACCGAGGCATATGTTTTGCCTTGGAAGGATAAGAATGCTTACAAAAATTATCAAATCATCATAAAATTTTTCCAGATTTCATGTCATGTTGGTTTGTTTGTTATTTACCACTGAACACTGCAAAGGCCGGTTTAAAAGGAGCCTTATGGAACCTTTGTAAAAAATTTTCCCCAAATTCCATTTGAGTTTATCTATGCATAGTTAAGTCTGTATCATCCCTACATTTGCGTGTGTAAAAATTTCAGCTTCCTCGTCATTTCGATCGCAATCCTCCATCGCGTGTCTACCGAAGGCGAAAACGTGTCGTAAGTCCTCCACCTGGTGATGAGTTTGTCGATTTAAGCACATGTTATTTAGGCGTTGGTGATTTACCAATAAGAAAATTTCAGGTGTTTGCCTATAAGCAAAAGATATTACTTCCTTTTTGTAAAATTTCGCAAATGAAATGGCATAAGTCAAAAAATTGCGAAAATGATTTAAGATTTATTTTCTCACGATATAACTCGTTATGACTTTCCTGCCTTTTTAGCGAGATCCGCAAGCTGTGAGCGAAGAGTGGCGACCTGCAAGAGAGGTGTCCCCGTCATATAATCTCACCCCAATTTATATTTTATTTAACGCTACCTCACTGCGTAGACCCACGGTTTTTAGCACATTTTTTGTCCACATAGCACGAATGTTATTTGCATTATTCTGATTTATCGTTTGTAAACAGGAAGCATTGTCTTAGTGAGTGAAAACCCTTAAATTAATTCAATTTTTGTCGAATTGTAGGATCATCTGTATCGATGCCTTATTTGTACAATTGTGAGTTTCCCTATTCTTCCAAGCATTTCATACCCATTCTATCAATATGCATAAAAATATGCGGCGCAAAATAGATCCTCCTTCTCTGTGCACCTCCTTCACGGCAATAAAATGATATTTAAAAGTGAATTTAGGGTTTTATAAGGCTGTTTTCGATGTTTTTTACTAGGTTGAAGATACCAGTTTCTTGTAAATTGTGTCCCTCTTACCCCATTTAATGCAAATATTTGCTCTTCCATTTTATCCCCTACCTTAGATGAAACAGCATGCTACCAGCCTACAACATCATCGAAGAGTGGTAAGCAGGACTTTTAGAAGTCATTCTTGGTACCAAAGTTAATGCGAAAACTACCTTATCCATATCATACCCTTAAACGATTCTACTTGCTTTACAAGACGTGTTTGTGGTATCCTTCAATTTACTTAATCTCGTTTCAGTGTCTCCATCCTCATCACTGCCTTCACTTCCATCAACAATAGCACTGCTGCCTTCCAAAGCAAAAACTCTTTGTGAGTTTTTACTGCTGGCAGCCTTATAGCATTCACGTGATTTAAGCTGATAAAGCAGTAGGGAGTTTGGCATTATAAGCCTACACTCAGTAGGAAGAATTTAGAATTGCCTCAAGATTTCATGGAAATGTATACGGGAATACTTAGAAAAAGCTATTCGATTTATTAGCTGTTAAGCTATCTAATGATTTCAAATAAATGCAAGTCGACATGCTTGCGGACAGCAAATTTTTAAGAAATGCATATTTTCCCCTTGTCAATCTCATGCTTTGATTAACGACCGTGACTTGTCTTTTCTTTCCAATTTTAAGCCCTGAACGCTTCCAGGAACGCAATATGTAAGTGAAATATTGCCTGCTTAGGATCGCCCAAAATAAAGACATTCTACTTCATTTTCCTGGTCCGCTCACCAATCACTGGTTGCATAAATACAGGACTCGCCATACATCCTGGATGGTTGACAAAATTAACGCAAGACAAGAGTTTCCAAATAACAAATCAATGGTAAACTTGGCAATGCATTCAATGGCACATCACTGAGCTTATATAATGGGCTCCAGAGACGCCTACTTTGTTTTAGGGTATGAACTCAGAAAGTGTGCATCCATTTTAGATGAGGTGATCAACACTGAGGTCACCAAATCTCCCAGGAAGCAAGGTATTCTCATTTACCACTACACTGCATGAATTCATTGGGAATAACAAGCTAACTTGGTTTCTAAGCAATTTATCTTATCTTTTTGATAAAGTGACCCCTTAGCTTAAATTCTTTAATGCTGAGTAACTCAAAGCACATCTGTGGTTGCTAGTACCTGTGAAACTATAATGATATCTAGTGCACTCACTAAATCACGAGTTGTTTTGAAGGGTAATTTGTAATTTTCCTCTGTTATGTATATTTTTCCTTTTTTGATTTGATTTGATACAAATATAGGGACTCTCTTGTCTTCACCTGCTCTATCTGCACCTTCATCGTCAAGCAGTAAGACCTGTCTAAGGATATTGCATTTTTCATTTAATTTACTTTTGAGCACATAATGAGTAAATAACCATGTTTAATTTATGTCTCAGCAATAAAATCAAGTAAACAATTCACTGTCTTCTAAGGCAGTAGTTGGTTGCATACACGCACCAGAGGCCATTTCGTTCATTTGCGGAATCTGTTGACTGTTCCCAAAAATATGGTCTTTCACAATTTATTCTCTATGGAATATTGGGATTTTTAACAAAAGCATGCATAAATTTGTCAGAATAAGAGTTAAAATAAATGCCTAAGGCTGCAGTAATGGTTAGGGACAATGTTTATATTTGGCTGCTACTAAGAGTATTTTGAATGAACTCGACCAAATAATGCATGAATTCTGCGTTACGAAGAGAACGTTTTTTACTTCATATGCAATAGTGTGAGCAGTTGAACGCTCATTTGTAGGCGAGATTCCTCGTGAACCTTTTGCATCCATAACTTACAAGACATATAGTCCTCAATGGACTGCTTACAACTTATTTAAGCATCATTGCTTGTATGACGCATGATCAAGTACCCTTGTGGCCTATTCCTGCTTCTCAAAGGCAACCAGTTGAGTTGGTAATGCAAACAAGCCTGCTTTGGTTGACTGAAGCCCCAGTTCTGCCATAGTGGTGAGTCATCAAGCAATCGCCTTTGACGTTTCAGACTGCATTTTGGCATTTAGTTTCTACCTGGCCGCTATGCTAAGTGGAGGCTCGGTATTACGGAGAAGAAATAAGGTCTCATGGATGATAATGCAGCGAATGGGAGATATTTCATTTCTATACCACGAGACCGAAGGAGAAAGTTACCATGCTCTCTGTTTAATTTATATGGAGCCTGCTTACTTATTTGGATCTTGTACTTTAAATTCCAAAATGGTGGTGCTTAACTGGGCTCCTTATTGCTCTTTATTTTCTTCCCCACTAACAAAAAACTTATCTTCCACTGGAAATCAAGCCTTCAAAAAATACATTGCGTGGTTATTAGCCACACCTTCATCTATATTTTCCAACTCTACTGAATCATTGGCGAAATACACATTTTGAAGTAACACAGATTGTCTCATTGACTTTTTTATGGAATTGAGCTATCTAAGGAAAGATTTTAAACAATCACGAATAAAGCATTGGTCAAAAAGCTGATGAGCCGATTCCGTGAAGGAGCCTCACAAAAACTCAATTCAAATTTTAGCTATTCTGGTTTTCAAAGTCAATATTTATTTACTTTAGTCAATTGAATAAGGGTACTTACGAAGCTGACCGATTTCTTCATTGGTTTATTAACTATCATTTTTCTTTTCTTCATGCAGCTTCCCAGGATTCTGATATCACAGTCTGTAAGTGAGCTCGGTAACATTGGCAACTTTTAACGACTAAAACGTTAGACATTCTTCTATCCGCAATTAAAATGACCATTTTAAACTTAAATCTTGACAGTTATACTACCTAGAGAGCCATATCTTTTGAATGATTTTATGCTAATGTGCCTCCAGGACTCCTATGTGCAGTAATCTGGAGAATGTACGAGACGGCAATCCCACCTTGGCCCATCAATGGGCGGTTGGAAATGAGTCGCATTTCCTCAGCAGCCCGTTACAAAATAAATTAGGATTTACCGCCTCTTTTCGTATACTCGTTATTTATGGATAAGGTCACCCCAATTTGAACATGATTAGTTATTCCGTTCATTTATTGCTGGTAGTTTATTCGTTCACTGTTTATTTTAGACGAAGTGATACATGTTGACCCTCGGAAGATAACAAAATACGGAGGTATTTACCATTTGGATGGAAAAACTGAATTAGTTTTATTTATTTCTTATTTTTTATTTCTGACAAAGACTGGAGAAACATTACCTGATTTTAATTAACCCCTTAAGGAGTGCTTCATAGCTAATTCTTTCCTTTCAAAGTTAGTTGAGTTCCTCAAAGGACCAGTGGATGAAAATAGCACCTTCCCGACATTTGACTTGCTCTTCGGTTAACTTCTCGCTTAGCTTTACTTTTTTATTGTAGCCTGCGGAAAGTCGCAAGTCAAAACTTCTGGGAGGCTTCGATTATGTAATTTTTAACATTTCTTCATTCGTTGTGATTAAAACTTCTGAGTGTGAAAATTATCTATCATTGGATTTCCTGCTTAAGTGCAAAATTATGAAAGTATTTTTTTTAAATCAGGCTGAAACTCATTCCAGAGCCAGGGGTTTTGGCTGCATCTTAGCCAAACGTTCCGAGAGTATGCTAGGCCTAAAATACTACTACCAAACCCACAAGGCTACTCTACACTATCATTTTTCTTATGTGTTCGGGAAAAGTGTTGAACAGTATGAGCTTGGAACTGAGCGTCATTGTAAACGAATATTTTATAAGCGTGTTTTCACACCTTCTTTTGAATTTTTTATGAAATTTTTAGATGATACGACATGCTCTGATACTGAAAAAAATGTCATACATGATGGTAAGTTACTTCTCATGAGAGTTTTACTTGCATCATCCATTACAATATTTCCGGTTTAGTTTCAGCCGTCGCTGTTGAGCCCGTATCGACGTCAGCCTGTCCCTGTAAGTTGGATTTGATCGCGGTAGGAACTGCTGGAAGTACGCTTAGATGCTGGAAATAGTTTGGTAAAATGCTTTATGTTAGCAGTGACTTTAATAAGTGTTTTAATTGGTAACGGTGATGAAAAAATGTACTTGGCAAATCGTTTGTCACTTTTGGTCTCCTCAGGAGTGAAAGGTAGATTTGCGGTTGATTTTAATTTCCTTCAATTTAGGTTCATCTCCAAAAATTCGAACAGCACGTAAGTTTTTGTGACTAAAAAAGCAGCTTTTAATGCATCGAGACGCAAATGACAGTCTTTCATAATGCATTTTAGATATCAGTACAAGTATCAATGGCCAACAAATTATAAAAGACAGATGTAATCACTAAACTATTAGAGCTAGCTGGTTATTAGTCTCCGTGGGTTTAATAGCATATTCCTGTAAAGCGAGTGCACTGTTGTAAATGGACATTGACGTTAAGTATCTGTATTCTTCAGCCGAAGATGAGTTTCGACTGTTGTTGTCGATAGGAAAATGTTTATTTGCCTGTCTCTTCGGTCCGTCGAAATAAAGTCTCCTCTCCATAAACTAACTGATTTTGAATTAGTTTGGCTTTGTCTTTTATTACAAATTCGAGCCGCCATGTTTTAATTAAAAAAATGCGGACAGTTAACCACTCTTATCTGCGACTGAAATTGCGTTTAAAAAAGAATTTTTCCCTCTACTCTGGATCCGAAACCAGTGCCTGTGACGGCAGTGCTCCCATCGCAGCAGTCATCATCGCTATCATCACTGCCGTTTTCGCCATGTCGAGGTACGTGCCATCTAACCCTGCCTGATCGTCAAAACCCCCATTCTCCTCCTTTTTGGTACAAAAATGCAAATGAAATGAAATTCCACGCATAGTAGCATCAGTAAATGATGAATGTATTGGAAGCACATTGCGTGAAAACAATTCGCAATAACCAAATTTTCATTAACCTACTCCGCGTGTTTTTGAGGTAAAAATAGACTTATTTTTCAGTTTTCCTCCTCTTTTTAATAAATTTGCCGCCTAAAACCTAGTCACAATCTTGTTCCATAAGTTCTTGGAGCTTATGGCCAAAATATGGCATTATTTGGCGTTGAAATACTAAATCCTTTTTTAATGCTATTTAATAGAAACGACCGTGCTTTGCGGAGATTGTAAGTTATAAAAGCTATTTGAGTGATCATTGTGCGATGTGTTCTATTTTTAATAACGTCATTTTTAAAAAAAATTTTGGAAACTTGTAGACTAGGCTCCTCAAATAATGCTTTACTTAATTTTCTGACTTACAATGTTTGTATTTTAGGCGACTCCTCTACTGATGAAGTCGTAAGTAGGCTTGAGCTTGTAATGCCTATGTTTGATTTAAAATGTACGTCAGCTAGCTATCAACGTGTCCCCTTTAGGCAATAATGCTCCGTGCGGATATTCTGTACAACGAACGACGTCAGCGGATGTCCGTGTTTATTAGGAACCTAGAGCATGTGGACGAAAAATTGAAGCATTCGGTGGGTCTTGTACTTGCTTTCAATCTGCAATTCCTTGATTGTTATTTTCATACCTCTAAAGCTCCCATACTTACCTCAAATGATCAAAAAATTTCAATTGAGTAACAAATCGTTAGCTTGAATATTAGATTTGATTGAATCTAACATAAGCATATTAGCCCTGCGTTTATTTGGATCGTTTGAATGCAGATGGTGCATTTCAAAAAAATGGGGATGAAATGTCAGGAGGCCCAATTTTTACTTTTTTACAGGTCAGGTGTATGCTTTACACTGCGGACGGTCGCAGAATGGAAAAACAAACCAAGTGCAAGCGGGGTTGCAATCCCTACTTCAATGAAGAGTTCAAATTCAGGAACCTTGTGCGATGTAGGTTGTGACTTGGATACTCGTTCTGCTTCGTTGAAGGCCGTCGGCGTGTGGCTGTCTGAAACACCCATAAACCATCCGCCGCCTAAAAGTTCAATCTAATTAAACAAGTCTTGTGCCAGCAGTTTTCGTGGTAGAGGGGGTTGAAGTGATACCTACTTTGTTTTAGTCATTGGGTAACGAAGGATAAGAGAGATAAGATGATCTTTCTGCGTTAGATTTCTCAAAGTTAGTACCCGTTTCGTCTCCATTTGCATCCAAAGCATTATTCCACATGGTAGATGCGAAAGCATTCACCCGTCCAGTGGTGAAATTCGTCAATTGCATTCTTGAGAACTCTGCATAAAATACTGAGCTCCCAAATAAATTAAACGATTCTCCTACGTCCAAACGGCGTCACATTGGAGAATCTAAAGTTCTTCCTCATTATTTTAGCGGACATTCGTGGAGGACAATTGCTGTTTTCTGTAGTCCAAAAACACAAAAAGAACGTTGTCGGTGTGGGAATAATTCCAGGCTGCAGGATCAACCTTGACCGCGACGAAGCTCACAATATTCCTATCTGCTCGAAGGTATGCTGGCATTCAACAGCACTTTGTGTGTGCATAATTTAAAACCTTTCTGAAGTAAACATTTTAATGTGTTTCAGGTAGCTTAATTATTTACACGATAGACATCTGGATTAGACACTCAGAATTCGCGATACTGAAGCAAATGTTCCTCTTTTTGTGTAGATTCCGAATAAATTCGTGTACAATATGGAGGATGTGACGAGGGAGCCAGAGAGTCTCATTCGCATAATCTATCCCAAGTCAAGCGATCACATTGAGGTTTATCAATAGAAGGTGTAACGTCCCTCATTTTCACAAATAAAATCATTTGTTCTGGTTTGAACTGTTTTTAGCTACAAAATGATGAAAGAAAGGTGGCGAAATTTGTTTTTGGCATGAGCATAAGTGCTTAGGTTGTTTTAGTTACTGCATGCAACACACTGCCTTGTGGAGAAAACAGCAAACGATTGAATCGCCCCTGGAGGCTTCATAATATATACCTCATGGAGAAGGGATGCGAGAACATCAGCATGGATGACGTGGGCATGATTCCGTGCCATCAACATTATAACCGAATACTAGCGGATACCGACCTAGTGGAAGGAAACGCGCTTTGATCAGAACACTTTCTTCCAGTCTAGCAACTCCCAATGAGGTATCAATGGAAACGCTGAAGTGTGTGCATCCCGATATACAAATTTCGTACCATAGCAGCACTGCACACAATAGTGATCACCTCAAGCCCGTATCCGCCTTAAACTTTCGATATAAAGTGGACCCAGCTGGTACACGAAGTCCCACTTTGTCTCTCCTAAAAAAGTAAAGTTAAACCACTACCAACTAACTCACCATACGTTCAGGTTACCAACATCCTCAAATTGAATCTACCGCGTTGAAGGGACATAGCATCACGCTTTCCAATGGAAACTTCGACCCAGAAGGCGCCCAAGCTAAGCAAACGGTTACGAAGGCCGCTTACTCGCTCAGAATTTCATCACGACCGTATTTTTACGGCGGTACAATTAGCCTTCCTGAGTTGATGCACCCCGCACCATCGGGTGTCAAATAGGTTTAATCAAGGGTTGGATTCCTGATGCAGTTGATGTCGCCGTAGAAATGGAATCACCCTCCTCCTACCAATGTCACCAAAGAACCACGTTCAGGTCTGAATCGCTTTATCGTTCTTCTCGATTCGCTTAATAAGAATATTCTTGCTGTGTAATTTCAACCTTAGTGCTATTGACACCGCACATTACAGTTAATGAATGGAGCAGTCGAATGACATATCCATCAGACACTACAGATGCAAAATCCTAGAGACGGGGCGAACGTGTTCTCTTCACCTGACGCAGTACTAAGATTGGTCACTTCGACCATCATCATATAAGCAAATCGTACTCAGAGTCTAAGAAGCGAACTGGAACTGTCAGCTTACTAATTATCACCAGCTACTCATAAAGGCTAATTATCTCCCGTCACCCATAGACTGATCAGTACCTCTCTTCCCAACCCATACCAAAAACGCCAAGACCAAAAGGGCAAAAACAGTATTTGATTGTAACGTCTCGTTTCCCCGATTGGGAGAAATGCTTCAGACAAATATTGGACAGAGATCACTCCTTGTGTGTGGCCAGAGGGCAGCACGCGCACAAACGCGCTCGTGGAGAGACATTGAGAGCACAGGTAAGCAGAGTTACAACGCAAACTGACTCGGATGAAAGGAGAGAAATGGATAGAGAAAAAAGTATGCCAATTTGTGGAGGCCAATCATGAACTAAGGGAACATATGAAGAATGCACGGCAATGTCTGGCAAATCTAAATGAAATTCGCGCCAATGTCTGTAAATGTGTGCATGTCTGAGAGAAACTAGGAGAGGTGTGCTGAGTAGGCGCATGTGCGCGCATGCGGTTGTAACACAGTGAAAATAACGATGTGAGAACATGTGTTTTCTTTAACAAAAAACAACAGCATAAGATAGACACAAGAAAATTTGAGAATGAATAGAGAGGAGTGACAAAACTACAGAGATGGGAAATATGTGGGGACTAAGAGTCAAGGAGCGCTTTTCATCAAATGCAATTGGGAGTAGAGGGCAGAGGAAGAGAGCAAGTTGATTAAATCTGGTGTCGAGGAAGACCGAAGGAGGGTGAGACCGTTACTCTTATCTCGAACAGGAGTGAAGAGTAACATAATTATGGGTAATAGAAGACTAGGGGGAGGCGAGGAAAAGAGATTTAGACGGGAATCAACAACTACGAAAGTATCTTCGAAAACAGCCTGCTTCTGTCTTCTCCCATTCTCCTAGTAGAATTAAGTAGACGCTGAAAAGTAGGGGTATTATTTGACGTACTAGGGATGACGAGAAATGAGAATGGGAAAGTGAACGTCACACTCTGTTCCCTCTAACGACCGCTCATGTTGTCGCAACCACTGACGTGGGAGAAGGCGTCTGCGCGGTCGTCGTAATTTGCCTCACCACTGGGACCCGTGAAACCGTCGGCCTCACCGACGCCGCTTCCAGGTGAGAGCTCATCTAAGGCCTCAATTAATCGCAGACCGTCAATGAAAGATAGATGCAACTCTGTCTGCAATGAGCGAGCAAAGTATTCTGGCGCCCAGAAGCGCATCGCGGCGAGTTGAGATAGTAGGAGACCGTCGAACGCTCCGGTTACTTGTAGAATCTGTCCGAGACCGCGAAACTTGAGCCACTGCGAAACCGTGTTGGTAGACCAAGAGCGCACCTCAGCACGAACTGCCGATTTACGAATGCGCATTATGGCATCGGGCGAGGGCGCCCCAGACACTGGTCCGTAGAAAGGGCCCTTGGGCTGCGCAATGCCCTTCGGCAAACTCCCATCTCGTCCGAGACTTGTCGTACAGCTGACATACTCGTTGCTTATCTTCCTCAAAGAGCCAGAAATAAGTCCATCTACGTGGTTGGTCTGTGAAGGAGCACCAGCGGGTATAGCACTCAAAGAACCCTTTCTATCGTTAGCCATCATTGAGCCTAGGGTCTGTTTCACTTCTGCGTACAAATTTTGTGCCTGAAGGGTGAAATTCTCGAATCCCACATCCAGATCCTTCCGACCGCTAAGATCAAGAACGACCTGTCCGGCGAGAAGATCACCGAGCCAGCCGGAGGGCTTGTATTTGGGCTGCAGGTAGACGGGAAGGATATATCTGGAAGGCTGTTTGAATGATGAATCACCCCCCGAGATGTTGCTGGGGCTGCTGAGACCGGGACGAACGCATTCAATTTCGTAGCGACAACCAGGAGACAGTCGATAGGCCTCAGAAGCGCAGACCACAATAGCGCTGGCGGAGTCTATCATCTTCCGCCAATGCGAAAATGAGGTAGAGGCTGAATAGGCACCCGACATACCGACGGCGGAGGAGTCAGGCAGGGCGTTGTCTGAATCTGGTGCCTCCAGTGTGCTCACAGGCAGGCCGGCAGCTTGTAGGCGTTCGGCAATCTTCACGGCAGCCATCCGATTAACTGGCGCAAATGAAATCAGGAAGATGCCTTGGCCTGGAGAAATAGAGGCAGGTACGGGAAGGGTGAGACGCGCTGACACAGCTTCGAGCGCTTTAGCCACGTGGCTCGGCAAAGACGAGATTTTGCCCTCCTTGATGAGGCCAGAGAGCCAGTTCGCGACTTGTAAGTTCATTTCAGACGAGGGATTGGGTGCGCGTGGATCGAGAGAAAGATTCCAGAGCAAACGAGCGACCTCCTCGGCCTCGCGAATCACCATCAGAGAAGGGGTGGTTTGAGCGGCAGCTTCGATAGCCTCCTTAGCCAACTGCGTAATCGTAATGCGTTCACCGGCCTGGTTTACCGAAACTGAGAGGATGTCCGGCTTTATGCTATCATTAACTGCCAACGTGGCAATGGCTGACAACAGTTCCGACACTTGGAAGCCATGACAACGCCGTTTTTCTGATGCCTTCGCTGTCACCACGTGGTCGACGAGACCTTGCAACACACTGCTGTTGTTTGGTGGAGCACCATTAATAAGCTGTGTCATGAGGTTGGTGTCGTTGTCGTTCACAATGTAGGCCAAACAGAGATCTGAAATGCATCGGAGAAACTCCTCCTCTCGCAAAAACTTGTTCGTCAAAGCGCTCTTGACAGGATCTGTGGAGAAGCAGTGGACATTACCGGGGACCCGTGCGATGTTGTGAATGATGGATAGACTAGCCTTCACCAGGTAGTAGACGTTTTTGCTGGGCAAATTGTCCAGGTAGGGCTGGTGCCCGATATTAAGGTTCAACAAATTGGGAAGACCCGCGTTGGCAAGAGCAGTGGCAAAATCTGGCCATATTTCAGAGAAGTTCCACGTTGTATTGTAAAAATAGAAGGAGGAAAACCAGATGTTGTCGTTTTTGAAGACACCCATATTGTTAAGCTTCTTCATCATCTTAGACGCAAAGGCCGGATACTCGAGGCTGGTAAGGTATTCGGCCAACTCTACGCGGTACTGATGGCAGTCAAAGTAGAGACGACTGAGCTGTTTCCCGGTCTCATACATAGATCGCAAGTCGGTCATATCTTCGAGGCTATGGAAGACCTGCATCACAGCATCGACAAAGCCGCGGGCCTCCTCGAGAGTGAAACCTTTCCGGCATTGCGGAATCTCCGGAACACGCTTTGATATGGGCTCAGGATGGTCCATGTCCGACGAAGTGAAGATGGACAGTAGCAGAGAAGTTAGATTGATGTGGAAATAAAATCTAACAATTCAATGCGAGTCAATTTGAGAGTTGGTGATCGTCCGACGATTAAGAAGTCAAGCACGCTTGATTACCGCCACTGTTTATCTGAAGGAAAGAGAAACTAACTACCGCTTACCTATAAAACTAGAAATGGCAATTCAAAGCGTATTTACCAAGTGTAGGCAAAGCGCAATTGAAAACTAATAGTCGCTTACAGAACCGATTTCAAACATAAATAACCCGTCGCAAAGGTGAAATTAATCTTTTTCAAAAAGAAACTGCTATTGGCTACCTGAATACATAAGCAAAAGTTTATCCACAGATTAATAAGGAGCAGAAATCACACCGGGCAAATAGTAATAAGTGAAATCAGTGACCTATATTTATCAACAAAATGCTCCTTCTTTCTCAACAATACGGAATAACAGTTTAGCCAGATTCTCACTGCAACAGATGACATCAAAGCATAAATTATATTCCTTACCTGAATAAAAAGGCCAAAATAGGGCAATATTCAAGCACACTCAACAAACCTAATAATAAGAAAATATTTTTATTAGGGACTTTATTTGAGCAATCTTCGTGAGGTACATCCAGAGGTGTTTGGAATGCGATTCGTGGTGAAGGCGTTGCTTTTGATGAGGATGGGGAAATGCGAAAGCTGCTCTGTGTGTAGCTGCTTTAATGTAAGTGCGGATTTCAGCACTTCATGAGCAGAAGGAAGTTGAGGCGCTTACGCCTCCTTCTCCAGGCTAATCTCGTCAATTCCTGGAGAAGGGAAAAATTGAAAAGAAAGTGACGACAATGATCAACCACTCCCTCATCTGATCCGAATTTTAAAGCAAATGCAGCGGTCGATGAAAACCCAAACGAATTATCGATTTACTTGGATATTTAATAAAAGTTAAACCAAAGCGCGCGATTTTACTGTCACAAAGTACCGATAATCACCCCTAGCCTAGGATTACTTTTTGGAAAGATGGGTGAAAGTGACATTTCATTAATTTTCACAGCTAAGGGTAAAAATGTGGCAACGAAAACGCAGTCTTATCCCCAAGATTAAGAAATGTTATAAAAATGGGTAATAGTGCACAAAACAAACATCATCACAAAAATCACAGCAAACCTATGTGCAGTCGAATCCATTTGAATATCGTGATTAAATTCACTAGGTTCGGATTTAGTGATGGTAAAAATATTGATTGTAGGGAGATGCCTTGGACCAAGTTAAGGGCATTTGAATAACTAACTGACATAGTTGCATGGAAATGTACTGGCAATTGACGGTGATTCGGTGTGCTTTAGCATAGTCGGCCGCGAAATTGGCTAGAAAGTGATTCTAAAACTACGCCTGCAATCTTGTATACCGAAAATAAACGATCTTAAGGCATATTTTGACCCAATTCATTAAAATAATTACGACCTATAAAGGGCAGCATTTTTAAATCAGAACGCATGAAAACCAAATATACCTGCGAATTTGGCTTTACTAGAGACCAGCAAGTCAGCCTGCAGAGGTGTCATGCGCAAGTAAAATTCATCAGTGTTCTTCTAAATAAGTTAAAAAGAAGTGATATACCGGGAAAAAACCACCAACAAACACATCGTTGAACAATTTTTAATGTATACTGACAAGTGATGTGTACAAAAAAGCCAAACGCCGATTTAGCTAATCGAGTGTTTCCAACTTAGGAGGGAGAGGAAGCATGATAACTTGCTCAAAAGTTGAAACGATTTTAATGCTAACTGTGGTACTAGCAAAGAAGGAATCCCACTTTGGGCTATGACTGAAAATTAATTTTTTACTACCACTTCATCACTCAACATCCAGATTTTCTCATTTGACCAGAACTCTCACAAGCGAATAGGGCTCAAGGTCATGCAAAAGTACGCGGAGTAGTTAGAGAAGGAAAAGAGCGCCAAAAAATTGTACATTTGAGCCACTGCTGCTGCTAATAAAAGAGGACCTACGAAGAATTCCTCGTAGAGAGCTTGTCCCATTACCTGGGAGACGATTTCCCTGATTGGCAAGTACCTTTCGCAGAGCATCTGGAACACGACGGAGAAAACTTCACCAATCAGAATAAATGACGCCGAATCCAAAAACAATGATGGACTTCACATTTAATGAGAAAATCAAGTTGAAATGGGAAATCCTAATCATAACAAGTACGAAAAAACAATAAAATGGTTTACTAATAGCAGTACCTTGACAGCTAAGCTGGCATGGCGCTGACTATCAGGATACTCCAAATTTCCCATTGCGTAGAGCAGACCTGAGAGTGCTCCGAGCTGAAGTATAACGAAAACAGACCATATTAATAAGCTAGAACAATGGAATTTCATAAAAAATATTGCATTGAATAGGAGATATTTCAGTAAGCGGAGCCGTCTTGCCGAGAACATTGTGATACCCTTATTTAAATGAAATATTTTATTTTTTAGTTATTCTACAGCTACAGGAACCGGAAATCTAACCGGAAATCATCAACGAAAGCTGAATGCTCAATATGATTTCATATTAAGTAAACACTATAAAATGTGTTCAAACTTGGTTTCATTTATGCTTGAGGACTAATTTTGGTCGAAAATGCAGAATTGGGGGGTCAAATACAAAAGCACTATTTGTTAAAAGAATACGCGTATGAAAAGATTAAATTGACTTTGCAACAGTTAGCAACGGTTATTTTAGAGGTTCGCTAGCTCAAAAAGCAAAAAAAAAAAAATAATTAGTAGGTAGCACATCACAACGGAAGTGTGCACACGGGAAAATATGACAATACCGCAAAAAACCGAGCAGCTATAAAACCCGAAAATTATTCATCCAACGCACTGGAACTTAATAGTAAAAATAAACAGAGAAGCTATTTTACTGCACGATTAGGAGAAAGACACACAATCAAATCCTAAACCAATGATGAAAACTAGGTATCACCAGCCAAGTAAAAACCACAATTCTCCCTTGGATGAATCATACGATTCCCCGACGTTTTCGTACAGGGAATAACTAAGTTACTCACCGATAACAACCTCTTGGTCAAATCGACGCTGTCTTCAATGAGAACACTAAAAATAAAAACTTTGGTAAAAATAAAGCCCTTTAACCTCGATGGACGTTGCTAAAATAACAGGAAAGCTTTTATTTACTAACTTCACGGGCTAGTCTACAATCCGAAAGAAATGGTTCTGGCTTGGAGTAGGGTAACCAGTTTGCGATGAATCACCAATTTGAAAGATCCAAAATGATTTGCATCATCAACTGTTGACATTTATATAAGAGTTAATGCATGTAAACATACTACCTAAAAGGGAAGTACAAACTAACCCAATGCACTTGGCAGCGGAAGCCTGTTGGACAAAAGCCGGAGTGGGCAGGAGAACAGCCTGGTCGTCATCGAGGTCTTTAGTCTTTCCGAATGTCTGATCGATAGAAGCCTTGGAGGAAGCGCTACCATCCTTGCCCCGTCGCGGGTGTCGACTGCGCCTGTGCTGACTACTACTACGCGAGCTGGTCGTATAGGAGGAGACGCGACGGCTGGCTCTGCCACCGACCCGGCGACGCATCGTCTTGATGGGCCTTGCTACTATCAGTCTGCCATCGTCCATGGTACCAACCTCATCCTCCTCAACACCATCATTACCTGCAGGTTTCTTCGGCTGATAAGAAGTGAAACACGTAATACAGGTTCACATACGTGTGCCGGCGTGTCCTGTTCTCAAACCATCACCGCAAGGAATTTTGTACGGCTAATATAAGCAAATGCCCTCACTGGCTCAAAACTAGTGTTCACGGTCCAAAAGCAATGCCAAACAAGTGAGAAGGTGGTGGGTCACCGTGTGGGAAACGCTGGTGTCCTATTACTCTCTTAAACGAAATGACCAAATTCCGGTCGCTAAAGCGTAAAATATAATGTCTAAGATAAGAAAAATAGTACCGTGGCTCAAACAGTTACCCATAAAATATTTTGTAATAAAAAATTAACCAAAATCAACGGAAATCGCGGAGCCCTGTAAACCATGGATCACTTATTCAATCTACAAGGCTAGAATTTGGGAGCAAACAGTCTAGGGAATGAAGCCGTGACAAAGGGAAGTGGAAACGAAAAAATGAATTAAAATAAGATTGATGAAATTAATCCTGGTGCTTTTTTCATACCCAAAACGTTAAATTCATTATAAGCAACTTAATTACGATTCAACCAAAAAATATTAGCAACAGAATTTCGTTTCAAACTTCGTATTCAACTGGCATTATTTCAAGCGGCTGAGCTATGATATTGAGTCAAATGGCAGAGCGTAACTGATGGCCTAAAAAAGGTAAAAATGCATATTGTGTAAAAACTAACAATCCGAAAACACAGAGTGGGATGTCGGAACCCATTGTGATATCGTAATGATGCGTTTAAAAAGTGTGAAAGGAAAATTGACGAGATTTGAAATGAGGAGACTCAGTTAACGAAAACTTACACGAAACTAAGCATTAATATCTCCGCAAATTGGCAAATAGAGAAAAAAACAGGAATGAAACCCCCCTCCCCTCAGTAGGATTTTGGCACCCAGGGTAGAGGGAAATTCCCTCCAATGAGGTGGTAGGCATGAAATATTACACAACTGGTAATCGAATTAACATCAATGTCACAAATGGAAAGAAACACGGAGTCCGGACGGGCCAGTCCCAGTTTAATGAGATAAAATTATGCGTGATTACTATTAAGTAAGCCCAGAGGCACCATAAAAAAGGTCACGTGAATACCTCAGTAAAATGTCATGTCTGTGAGAGCACGGCAGGCAGCATACTAACATGCTGCCTAAGAAATCACAGCTACTTTCGCAAATGAATTTTTAACTGTCGTTCACGTCAAATAATCCTCCTAGCTCAAAATTCTTAGGAATACAGATGCAAAGGTAATAAGTAAGAGGCGAAATGTTACAATTCCACGCCAAATTTAGATTTGCAAGAAACTAATTCGGAGATTACACAGTTAATTTGTCTTTCAATGAAAAAGCCCTGATAAAAACTGCTGTTTTCAAAAACCCACATTATCGCAAACTACGATCCATCAGTTATAACTTGAAGCGGTTTTCCATTCACGAGTAAACGAAAACGAATTCATTTAAGGATTACAATAGAGATTAGGAACCCTGACACATATACAAATAAGAAAATGAATGCGCAATTTCATGTGAGATATGACGAAATAGGGCAAACGATAATCAAGCAAATGTCAAAGAATTAATATCAACCCTGCATCAGAAATCCACCTTTTGGGATATACCAGAGAACGTCTATGACCACGTGATTTGGATACCAAGCCCCACGTTATTAGCATTGGAATAAATTATAAGTATCCCACTAACGTTCTTAACTAGTATGTATAGACTGTGCCCAGATAAATGGGCTTTCGAGACCGAAAACTCCAACGTGCAGTACGTACACAACAGCTATGTCCCATTTGCATCAACCAACTGGACCAAAAATATGAACGCACTGAAGTAGCAATAGTTAGCTGAAAAAGTAATTTTTCAACCCGGGCCATAAGCACGTTTCTTATGCATTAAATTCACATAGGTCACTATCAGTTCTCCGTACAACTGATTCACTATCATACGTGAGGAAGGAAACAGCTTTAAATAGCATGTGGAACTATGAGGTAGAAAACACAAAAATAGTAGTGAATGAGATTTCAGGGACAATCGAGTAATTTCATTCTGCTCTCAACCAATGATCAGTTGAGAACAACAGAGTTGAACGTCAAAGAAGGCAAGCTATGCGAAACCACCCACCCTCGACAGTACGTAAAAGGCGCTTGAAGTCATGGCAGGTAGTACAGTTACCGAGTGAAAAATCGTTAACCGGAAAGAAGGGTTTAAGCGCCAGAAGGCAAATAATTTGTTGCCAGTTGTCTCTATATTCATTATTAATTTGACGCGAATGGCTACAAGTATAATTGCGTTCCGATGTGACAGCGTGTAGTCAAAGTTAACTCTTCCTGAGGTGGACAAAAGCGAAAAGTAAAAAATATCTTTGTGGACCCTGAAAGTGTGCATACAAATTTGAATACAATAACTACCGATGGAATATGCCAAACTTAATGGTAAACATTGTGAAAAGACGCTGTGACAATTTATCCTCGAAAAACTACTTACTATAGCGAAGTATGATTCGGTTTAATTCTTCTTCTATGTTTGGAGACGCTTTTGTCAATAAATACAGTACGATGGAGTACTTTTGTCAATAGTTACATCAATGACAGATGAACATTAATTGTACACTTTCCTTCTTTGCCAATTACTCCAAATAAGACCCTACATGTTTTAAAAAGCTAAGAAGACGATAATGTCTTACTGCCAATGAACTGTGGTAGAAGAGTCAAACCACCGTCAAACGGGAATACCAAAAAGTAACCGACACAACCAACGAATTCGAAATCAGAAGCACACTCAGTGGAAATATTTTATGAAGGAGCGAAGACTCAGAAACGTAAGCATTTGTGGAAGCCAGAGGCTTCTCTCACTCGTTCTTGAGAGCCATGGTGTAACTGTTATAACCGCCACAAGTGATGGTGAAGTAGTAAGTTTGGTCAAGATGAATTCCAAAAATACTCCATCATTTGTGAAAATATTACATCACGGACATCGTGATTCGCAGTTACAAACTGGGTGACAATAAGCAGAAATAATGCCTATTACAATCAGGTTTGTGCAATGTGTTCATGTGTGGAGGAAGAGAACATTAGGAACTAACCTACTATTTTAAAAGGATGTTTACACACTATAAAAAAGGCAGAATGCCAGAATGTACCGCCTTAACACGAATGAAGAGTGCAACGCACACGGGTGTCTTTGAACAATTCTGCCCTAGTTGATTAAAGAAGTAGAAAACTAAGCCCATGACATGGACGGTAAACTAGAACAACGAGCTTTCCTTCTGGCGTTGAAGGTTTACGATGAAAAAAACCACCACACAAATGTGCGGCATTTATTACTCTCCCAATTTTTATGCATTCTAAGAGCGAGTTGGAAGCACTGGGTGGAAAGACGATGACAAGGCTCGATGTGTAAAAATCAACCCCAGAAAGCCGAAAAATAGCAATTCTCGACTTTTGACCAAGGGATCGAAATCTTTAAAAAACTAAGCTATAGCAGTAGTCTTTTCCACAATGCACCATGACAAGCACAAACCTTATTTTCGCATGGCATACATGTTTATCGCCGAGCAAAGCACAGTCTATGGGGGAGAGTAAGCGATTTAATATCCAATGTCCATTAGTGATAAAAAAGTATTAAAAAAAATTAGCTGTGCAAGAATTGAGAATGCTAATTTGAAGTAAAAGATAATCGAAAGCCAAATAAAGTACATAAAGAAACACGAAGTATCATCCTGGGTGTTTGAAGGCGAAAAGTTGAGCATACACTCGAATGCAATAAGCCTGGGAAAATCTGCTTTCATACAGCATAATTCAATTCATTTCCCTTCAGATAACATCTAAATGTGACAATTAGCAGTGTACACACATTATATTTACAAAATAAATTGCCGATCCTTTTAGGGCGGAAAACGAGATAAAGTTAAATTACTTAGGAGAAAATTCGAATGGGAATGTTAAGCCCACAACACAAAAAAGGAACGACATAAGGTTGAGGTTATAGCGAGCAAACGAGACGAGCAAAAAGGACAAAAACCAGCTAAAATCATTTGGGTGTGATTTGAAGCGGTTGCAAAGACGGCGGAGTGAATGTTGATGGAGAGGAGGTTGCAACCTACGAGATCATACGTCTTAAGGAAGATAGTAACCCCATGTGTTCATTCAAAAATGTCTTCGTTTTTACCAAACCGATGGTGCTGAACACCAAACCAAAGGTTGTGACGCAGGACATGTCCCTTACCAAATTGGAAAGCAATTTGAATAATACTAAAAAAGTTTCTTGACACCTGGTAAATAAAAAGAATTAGATTGTATCCATGTGTTGGGGTTTCTCTGTTGGTTTAAGTCAAAGCTAGGATGAAATAAAAATGTACAACATATTTGTAATATGGAAGATCGCATCCAAATGAAAGGCACACTTGAGATCACTTAAAGTTGATAAAAGATCCCATTTAACCAAAGCTAAAGTAAACAACAAGCCGAATTTCTAAGATCATATCTGTCCAAATGAGCCATTATTCACCACTGTAGTAACCCATATCGAATGAAAAGTATTAATGACACAAAACGGTGCGAGAGTTAAACATCGATAGGTCAGCAAAAGGGGCCTGATTTGGATTGGTTTTTGATAAAGTGAGTTTGAAATTGTGTCGCTTACTAAGATTAATGCCTAATGGAGGTCGATTGAAGGGGTTCTTTGGCCATATGTGGTAGCTAAACTGTCAAAGGTAGTTATTCAAGGGTGAATCGGGAGGTTAAGATATGATGCTTTAATTAGAATCACACCAACAAAACAAAAATTCGCACTTTTAATGAAAAACTCCTGGGAGATTGAACGGGTAAAATTTAGCCAAAAATGCACAATTAGAACATTGTTTTGCTTAACCATTACATCGATCCGAAAAGTTATCTAAGCCGATACAAACAGGTAAAAAGTAAATAAGAGATCCCTTCTAATAATGTCGAAATTGAGTTGATCGAGCTGTTGTACGCTATGAGCAGCGTCAACAACTACAGTTGGGAAACCGATGTAGTCTACCCCGTTGGAAATAAAAGCATGTATTTTTTTCGAAATAAAACGTATATTAAATGAAACTGATTTAGCGACCAGAGGAGAACTAGATAGAAAATACATAAGTCTAGAGCGCTATACCAAAACGGGGCAGCCCATTTCAGGTCAATTTACTACTAATCATCGAAAAAGGCAAGTGAAATACCTTCCCGATAAAAATCCACCTAAGCTAATCCTGCGGTTAAAAAAGGGCCGGCGATTGGTGGAGAGGGTGTATCATTGCGTAGTCCGGCCAAAGTAGTTAAGTAACGCATGTGCTTGCGCGCATAGGCGTGAGTGTGCGGGCGCAAACGCACGTCCTTGGGCAATCTAACCAGAGAGGGGACAGGCTATACTCCAAATTGATTGATCGGACAGCGGTCAAAGCCAGTAATAAGAAACTAAAAACTTTGCAATCAATCATCTCCAAAGCAGTAGCAACAGCATCAAAAATAGTAATAGAGGTAGACAAGCAGAAAAACAACGCACTGCGCCAGTGTTACGAGTTGATATTGTGATATGTGAGAACAAGGAGGATACCAGAGACAAAATGTTTCCGGGCACTGAGACTGAATTTAGAAAATAGAATTATTTAACCCCTTAAGAATTACATACTAATACAAGTACTTTTTCACGGTGGTGTTAAAACAACATATTCTTGCTACTACAGTATCACTAGAAAATTCGAAGTGAAGAAAGTACTCAAGTGATAGCCTTTGTAATTATTGCTATTCATCTGACAACGCACTTGAATGTTTCCGATTAACTTAGAACATAATCGAAAATAGTTGCGGAAAAAAACCATTTTGACGACACATTTATTGACAAAGTTGTGATCAAATTGTCTATCAACATTTGACACGCGGAATTCACTTTAACGGTTGCGATTGCACGTTCACGATCAATCTTGAGGCCTGTATAAAATTGCCTTCAACAAGGTATTTGTTAAAACTTTGGCACAGTTTAAAACGGCAGATGTAAGTAGATATAGCCTATTCAATGGAGATGTCCTCAAGCCCGTCAATAAATGCACAGTAAATAGCCTAACAAGGCTAGTGATTGAGAGAATAGATACCTTTCGGTAAAAAAAAACGATTTTTAAAGATGGAAAGCGATATCATATCCACACTTCAAAAAAAAATCAAAACAGCATACCTACATCATCAGCATTTTCGTTGACAGTTTCAGAAAAATCATTATCATCCTCATCACTGCTATCAGAGATGGATTTAGTTGCTTCGTTGAATAGTTTACCCAGTTCAATTTCCCGTTGAGGATGAAGGAGACGCACAAGAGCCTTGAGAATGTCATCGGCAATGTCACATTCCATAAGGGTACGAACAAGCTCCAGAGCTAGAGACAGAGATATGGGGGAACCATCAAATAACGCACAAAAACATCAGAATGTGCTAAAATTATGGGATTATTAATAACTGATGATGCGTTATGAAAACTTGAATGCAGCGGGGGTAGAGTAGCAAATATAAAATGTTAGATAAACTCAACTGAAATTATCCCTCAAACATGCGCAAACACAGGGAGTCGCAACTACTTATCGTCTCCACGATCAAGCTATTTATCTGTGCCCAATTACAATGTCAAAAAAAGGAGGTATGCAAAAGTCAACCATGAATTTAACCAGCATTTGGATGCACGGGAGAGCATACACGGACCTGGTAATTCGATCAAGTATGAAACCTTTCGAATCACCAATGGTAACTTCCATTTCACACCAACAATCCCATAGCAAAGAGAATTTACAAGTACTTGTTTAAAGAGGATGAAGATTAATTCGATCTTAAAGCGTGTTGATTAAAATCTTATTGCCATATATTTGCCGCATTCGACTTAATAATATCAAGGTGTTGGTTAAACATAAACAGTGAAAGGACTTCCTGTGTCTAATTGCTGGATGAATTCAGTAACCAGGATGCCGTTCGCTAATGTTGTTAACTAGCGGTTTGAAAACTACCAATCTAACGGGTTGGGCTAAGGTACCAGAGCAGACTGCATGAAAAAAACATCACCAGAAGAGGGGTAAAAAAATTTATTTTTACAAAACAAAGACCAGAAAGCCAACGCACAGATGAAATAGTAAATTTTGGCAAACTCCATAACCATGGCTACTAAAACGGTTTTTACGAGCTCAGGTTTGTCTAAGCACTGCCTATATCTAGGACTCACCCAAGGAGACGGCCAAAATTGCAGCCCATTTGTTAATTTCCATAATAACCTAACTCGGCTGATTGAACTTCAATTCCATTATTGCTCTTCATCGTTTTTTAGAACTCTAAAAATTTGCATCTTCTGCAAATATCGGTAGATACGGTGATAATTTCCCATAACAAATAGGCACGAAGGGTCTAAAGTAGCACAATAATTTCTTCGTTGATACTAGACATTCACCAAATGAGAGGGAAATTGGACAGATCTGTGGCAAATTACAAGGAATAAGACAAATCATCTATTCAATTTCAGATCACAACACAAAATTGCACAAAATTCTCCCGGAAAATAATGCTCATGAAAACACATTCACATTGGAATTTTTTCCTTTTTTGAAAGTAGCAATAAGGAATACAAGTTCCACAACACCAAAAAATCACTCTTGGATTTCAAAAATTTCTCTTGCAAATAGTTGTAGTTATTTCATGGGTGGGGTGGTTGACTCATTGCCTCTCAGTGATCTTTTCTCATTTTGAATTTAACTAACGCAGCAAAAAAATTATGTGTTAAGGCGGGTAAAAGCCAAAAATCAAACGCGTGCCCAATTAAATAATCAAATACTAATGAAGTCGGCAAAGATGTAATACCATTTTGACAATAAAACCCGAATGGATGAATGTCCAATGATAATAACAGAAAAATTAGTCATAAATTACCCAAGTAGCCTAACTGCTCTAGCTCATGATTCTACCCAATATCTAGAGGTGAATTCGTATCTGTCAAGTACCACCCTCAACTTCAACGCAACTGTTTGTCAAGAAGAACTGTGCGGCTAAATCACAACAGAAAGAGAAAAGTACAGAAGGATTCCATCTGACCTATGTACACATTTCAGTGATTTCCAGATGTAATTAGGGTCAGAATATTGTTCCGATCCAACCATGGTGAATGTTGCTGAGAATTCCTAGACCCCAGAGTTCGAACTTCTGCCAATCTAATCGACTATGTTGGCTATGTATTGTCGTGCAACTTTACAATAAAACCATAGCACAATTTTTTGTCTGGTCATTTCCATTCACTATTTTAAAGCTGATGAGCAGGAGGGTTGCATTACTGGAAAACCTATCGGCTCGTAATAATGCAAATGAGTTCAACGTAAACGCAGGAGCAGTTTTGTCCAGACAGTATTAAGTAATTATCAACAAAAACATGGTTTGCAAATGACAACGAAAATTCCCTATACGATCTAGAACTACATCGTGTCAGGAACTTACCGGCAGCTTGCACAGAGAAATGCAAGGACTCCATGATGCAATTGACACGATCAATGAGCGCCCTGTTAGCCACGGGATTCCCGATCTGAAGGGGCATGAAATACAAGGCTAAGATGACGCAGGATGATAAACGGGCGATTGAATCGACCTCCCCACCTACTCCCAAAGCCAGCTTGCACTTCGACCAGTTCGGCTTTATTTTAGGCAAGAAAGTACTTCATCAACGTGCGTAGCAAAAAACAAACGACGAATAGAACTAGACAACACTGATTTGATACAATTAGAGGGCGCAAATGCTGGCAGCTCGTAAAATAAACCAATACAAAGGCTTATTCTCAAAAACTGACCAGAATGCAAGATAGACGAGAGTCGTAAGCATTAAAGTTGTAATAAAAGATCTCGAAATCGGCTATTTCGAAAGGATGAAGAATACAACCTTACTCTTCCCCAATCTGTTAGTTACTTTAACAGAATAGGCTAAAATGGGAGAAAATACGTACGGTTACCAATTTGACAACAAACCAATTCTGGCTATTCAAAGGTGTAATTAACGCATCAACTATCTTTGACGATTACAGCATCTCGCCATGCTAAAATTTCCGCTCACAGAAAGGACCAGTTTTGCTTACATTAATTTACCGCACAACTAATACCAAAAATACCTTGGTGCGAAGAAGCATATTTTTCTGTGGAAAAAGAAGGTAAATAAAGCAAATTTCAGCAAGTCTTCACCTTAAATAAGAAAAGTAAACGAATTATTGTGAAAAAACATTAAAAGTGGAATCAAATAGAATTGCATACTGACAACCGTAACGTAGCACTATCCGCGATAAATGGCTAACCACGGCCGATTTACGAGTAATAACAAACACTCTTCGAAACAAATAAGCAGATGGGAGTACGCCCATTGAAGAGTTTAAAGGAAGTTAAAAAGGAAATTCACTCAACGTTTACATTCAAAAGCCCAGAAAAAGGGAAATGCCCCAGGTTAGTGGTTAGCGCTGTTCGCGCTTCTTCCACACAGCCATCAATCGACTGGGAAGTTAAATGAATTAGGCTACACATCGGATCAGAGTCAATTTGTTTCCAAGAGCTAAGCTATCAACAGAGTAAGAAAGTTTATACCTAAATCACTGGGACTGGGAAAATCAAACCCCGGTACCAAAACCATTTAGATTGAACGAATTTTCTAAGGGCAAAGGGGAAGCTACTGAAGTGCTTCTGAACTGAATATTGTCATCTACATGGGGGCGTGCACAATGCAGCAAGAGGACGAGCAAATGACGACAGAAGTGCATAGCGAAAAGATTTCCATACAAAACGCACTGTCGTCCTCGCTCCCCCCTCGCCTCAATGGACCCGGGGATGTAAGCCAAACGCGAGACAGCACCGCCACCAATGGGCACGGAAGGACGACAGTTGAGAGCAGGCGCACCGCACGAACATACACGCACACAACCGAAGAGCGAGAGTAAGAGACGGGCAAGCAGACGGTATTTACCACAATCCGTGGCCTTAAGGATTGAAAGCAGAAATGTGACAGCCACTTTAACCCGACCTTGAACAAAGGAAATTGAGTAAAATCGTGCCAAAGGTAAGCATGTACTTCTCGCATAGTGTAAATAGCCAATTGAAGTTAAGAACCGTGCAGTTTCCATTTAACTGGTGTATTTCAGCATTCTAATGTACATACAACTACACAACTCGCCCCGAATTGATTTATTTTCAGAATAAGAATGGGTGGAACTTAAAAACTGCCGTGCCTTAGCTCCAATCTGAGACCACTGACACAGCAACATATTCCTTTAAATAATTCCGCTCCCACTACTTACTGGTTACAGAAGCAGAAAGCTATTTTGCGTCACAATAGGAACGGCAGATAATAATGAGATTAAGTGATGCGAGGTTGGGGAATTTCACCGCCATGCCAAGCTGTACATCTCCATGCGTATACATATAGAAATAAATATAACAGTATTATAAAAAAAACAAACCACTACAAGGAGATATTTCTATACAACCATTTAAAGTTAGTTTACCGCATTCTTTTTGACGGACAGTGGAACAGTACAATCCATACATCATTCATTTAAGCAAAATTATGAAAATTAGAAAAAAAAGGGAGAAAAAAAGCGATTAAAAAATTGGAATGTCAGGCAAAAAAGTAGGCTACAAATAAAATGTACCGGTTAAGACTATACAATTGAGTAACATACCTAGAATAATAAGTGAAATGGAAGTGAATCGCATGACAATCAATGAGAGTAGCATGTTTGAAGGGATATTTCTTGACAGTTTAAAAGAACAAGTTAACCGAATGAGAAAATCCCTTTTGAATAGTTGAACATCAGTTTTTAAATTGAAGAGTGAACGAAGCAATAAGAGGCAGGATCTTTGAGAATAAAAGTATCTCGATAAGTTCTTAATCTTCCTTGCACTGGTGTGCCACTTCCCGCGTGCAGTTTCAAGGACGTATTTGCTGAGGAATCAGTCAACAATGCAACTTGTACAAGGTAGCTGGGAAAAAGAAACACGGTCAAATGTAGATCGTCTTCGTCATCCTGAATTACCACATTTTGTTCCTTTAAAAGGCCAGTTTTTTGAGTTAAGAATGATACTTGAAGCACGTAGCGTTAATATACTGAAGGAATTGATAATTAGAAAGTGGTTGGCATGTATTGCACAGTCAATAAAAACAAAAGAAATCATCAACGAAGGGCGAACCAACGTAGGAGAGCATACTATCCAAAACATCCGCGGGATCATTGGTTCGCTGAAAAGGTGCCAGTATACAATTAAGGTACAAAACTGCGGATTAATGGAAATCAGCTGCAGAATAGAGACTTAAAGAAAAGCCTAATCGTGCGTTTGGTAAAGCACAAAAAAATCCCCATATGTTAAAACAATAAATAAATCAGAAAAATAAACGATTTCCCATCCAGATAGTACGCCTACTTTGAGATTTCGAGTGCCATCGTGAGGATGAATCAAGTGTCAATCGATGTAGTAGGCAAAGCAGCCACGCATGGGGCTACAAAAGTGTCTACTTAGCATTAACCGACATAGGCACAAGCGATGCTACCACAATTTATTCAAGCTTTTGGGTTGAGTTGCTTGGGTGCATAGCTCAGAAGTGCGTGTATCAAGCAGAGATTTGAAGATAATGTTTTTATTAATAAGCTCATTTTTGCACGCAATTTAGTCACAAAACGTGACAGCAACGCATACACGGCACGCACACGTAAGTGATAAGTTTTCTAAAAAGTAGCAAACAATGAGAACAAGGGATTGATACAACAAAACGACAGGCAGGAAGATAGAAATAACAGGCATTTAAAATAAGACAACCACATAAGCGCGCTTCAATGATTTTTTTGTTTATAACGGATAGATCTCAACACAACAAAAGAGGTTAGTCTATTCGCCGGAGAGCTAGAGTTCACTTGAGAACCACAACCAGCCCAATTAACACAAGGACCATTGTATCCAAATGAAGCAGAAACGGTCAAGTCAGGCCGATTTCAGGATCAATCACACCAAACCGACTCACGGTTTAGGCGCTATGGCATGTACATCGTAAATGGATGGTGAGAAGCGCAGTCACGGCCAGGAATAACTTAATGAGCCATGGCGCCTAGCAGCTTTAACATCAGATTTCAAACAAGAGTGGGAAGCACAGTTATGAGAAAACACGCACACGATTGAACTAAGAAAGACGACCATAGATAATTATGCTAGTCTGCCAAAAAGCTGTGCAAAGACAGGCACAACTATAAAGTTAAGCAAGTAAAATAAGCAAGCATTTCGTCCATTAGAATGTGTTTCCCATCTGGCCAAGTTGAATCCAGAGAGCGGAGAAAGGAGTAAGAAACAACTCCTGTATTGACGAGAAAAAAAACGATGGAAGTGAAAATTTTCCCTATGGGATTTGCCATCATTGAACGATGGAAAAAGCGCGATGCAAAACACGCACTCACGTCCCTGGCTCGACGCAAGCATACGAAAGCAGGTAAACCAGTGTGATATAGTCACGAGATCCTCGGCGTTTAACCGCGGAGCTCAGCGCAGACCAAATTCGTCAACACAAATAGAAGCTGAGCCATTTATGAAGGATCAGAATGGCAAAAATCCGCTACAATGAACTTAATCAAATCTGAGTGAAGAGGAATAAGACTAAAAACCGAAACAATTTTTGAGGCACTTAATAATAAATGCAAAATTATTTTTTTTTCGCATGTCACCCGAACGTGGTGGTAAAATACTGCGCCGGGATTTTTCGACGCGATACTTCTGTCAAAACAGCAAATGAAAGTGAGCGCAAAACTACACCTTTAGAAGACAGGTTGAATTAATGTACTTGTGTAACGATGAATGACTTTGTAGGTAAGAAAAGTTAACTAGGACACTATGCATGAAGTGTTGCAAAAAAAAACACCAAAAGGGCAGTGAAACTCAAATTTAAGCTGATATGGGAAAACAGTGTCGGATAGTCGCGTTCACGGCGCGTGCCGTGCATAATAGGCTATGTTTAAAACGTTAAGCGTTAGAAGCCCCAACGAATTTGAAACCAAAACAACGCGAAAATTAGTTAATATTAAGAGAAGTATAACTTAACAGCTCTTATTTTTTGTCAAGTTTTATGATATTTTTAAATAGCCATAGGTGGAGCCTACTAGTGGATGGCCGGCTTCAACGCCAACCGCAACAATTCTGCTCAAAAATGTACGTTTTGTTGCTAAAGCATATCATTCTACGAGTTTAACCTTTGGGATAATATTACAAATTTAAAGCTACCACCCTCCCCACTTATCTTACCTTGCCTTATTATACGCGACTCCAGACTTGCTCTCCCTCAGCTGAAAGAGATACCACATCCTTGTGGCCGAAAAAAATGAAACCGATGCGTATATTTTCCCAGCTAGAGAACCGAAATAGTGGCGTATTATAGCCCAGAAGTTACACCTCATGAACCACAAAAACCACGGATACAACTTAAATAGGGAGCTAAGACAGATGTTTCGTCCATTCGATTAAATTACTGCAGTGGAAAACGGGGCGAGAAGGACGCTAACCTGGAGAATGCGAATGGACTGGAGGGCGAGTTGTTGGGCCTTGGCGGAGTCACAGGGCAAGACAGCAATGAGGCCCTTGTAAACCTGGTCGCGGAACCGCGGATTTCCTTCAGCCAACTGCTCCAGCACGTCGCGCGCTGCTTCCTGCGTTCGCTCGGAGCGCGATTTGGCCATGCATTCCGCCACCGCGCGGATACCTGCAGCCACAGCAAAACAAAATGAACAGTAATTGGCATATTTAAAATCAGGCCCGTGCCGTCAAAAGTAGCAGAAAAACGAAAGCCACCCACCTAGATGTACAGCTCAGGAAACGTGCTAGAGGAGTTTACACCATGAATTCTCCAAAATGGTTTAAATTTGTAAAGCAGACTCAATTCAGGGGTACATCAAACGCTAAATAGGGTGTTCTGCTCGAAACTCTACAGAAATAAGATTTGTTATTTTGATTGTTTTTAAGCCTTGTAAAACAGAATCCTATGTGAAAGCGCTAGTGCACCATGGAAGTTTATAAATTAATAGGCCAAAGGGCAGATACTGTGACTACACATTACCGCAACAACCGCGGTTTTCCGCCCGAAGAACGAAGAAAAAAACGCAAAATTGAAGGAATAGTGAGGCTAAAATGTAAACAAAGTAAACACAAATTACTAGATACGACGAGGTATAATTCAAGAATTCAGGTGCGCCACTTTGTAAGCGTTGAAGATCATGCATTTCCTTCAATGATGAGAAAATAAAAGACAAATGCAAGGGTGAAGCAATGACCCCACGAGTCAGCCGCACTAAGTTGTGTAGAATGGCATTTCCTCATCCGCTTAGCTACTTCTCTCGCCTCAAGTCATCCCTACTAAACGCTACACAGCTCTCGGGACTGAGCAAGCACACGCACAGATGCAGACACGACATTTTGGTCGCGCCACTGCCACTATCAGGCAGGAAGGGGGGAGGTCCAAATTTACATTCGAGTGGCGATCTGCTCAGAAGCTCCGTTGCTAACGTAAAGTAACCATAAATCAGGCATCATATGCTAAAGATAAGGAGTGCTTGTGGAGGGAACAGGGTGAAATACGCTGCACATGGGCATAAAAGGGTACTACACTCGAGCTCTAATTTTGAAAAATAATGCCGGACGACATTTTGTTTGTATGATAAATGTGACAAAAGGGAGGCGACATAGATGTGAGATACAAGCAAGGATTACTTACTAGATTATTCACAGAAGTGGCCTAATTAACCCAATAGTATAACCCAGGTATTTAAAAGCACTAAATTAGCATGAATTAATTAGACTAAAACTAACCGCCGAATAGTACCAATGCAAATAACACGAAAGAACTGGATTTTGAATTTTATTTTAACAACTGATTCTGCAAAAAGTACAAAGGTGCAGGAAATAGGAATCATTATGCTGCGTAGCTTTCCAGTGACGCCTAAACGTTCAAGTGAAAAAGACCGCTTTATTCACAGATGAAAAGAGGAGGCTATTGCACAAGAGCAGGTGGAGCGTTACTTGACACGCACCAAGGATCCGAACGAGTCTTGTTGGGATATGGAACAAGGTTTCGAGTTAAAAACAGGAGAACAAACACAAACAGCTCTAAATGAACACCTAGCGATATAAAAGCGAAATTCCTCTTTACACGACAACCAGTAGAGCGAAAATTCGCACAGGAAAGATATCGCGGTGGCACCTTATCCAGATCGAGTTTCCATCGCATGCTCAATTACAATGGAGGTGCAGTAAATCTTAAGACTTGGGTGCAATCTCCCCCATGCAAGCGAGGACCTGATTCTGCGTTTTTATTCAAGTTAGCTTCGGATAAATTAGAGCGTCGAGTTGAAACTGTGCAAAGCCCCACTTGCACTCTCTTTCATAGGAGCCTTCATGTGTTTGAATGAAGATAGTAAAAATAAACGCAATGAGAAAGTAGGAAGTTTTTTTCATTTATGCAGGCATTTATGAAAGACCATTCTAATAAGCTGCATTCAGAGCAAATATTGTAGAATGAACCCACAGGTTTACTTTTACTTTTTGACACAAGGTAACAACTTTGCAAAGTCAAGATTTTTCAACACTTGCGAGTTTTCAGGGCTAAAATGAGTTATTCGAGAAAGAGGAGCATTTGTAAGGAGGAAGTGGGAAGGCCTCAAAATCGTAAAATAATGCCGGTGGGAAGCAAATAAAAAAACTTCTAGATAAAAGAAACAACTGCGTAAACGAGACGTATTTGACATGAAGCTAACCATAACATTCACAGATGGTTTCTTTGTAACGCGTGCCACCATTAGCAACGCAGGAGAGTACACGGAGAGCCCAGTACTTGTCGACTTCTTTGGCACCGGGCAATACGCAAAGCTCTTGTAAACAGAGGATGCCGCCATTCTGCAGAAACTCGGCCAGAAAGTTGTGACTGAGAGGGAGAAAGAGAAAACACATCACCATTGTGACGCCAACAGCGGACTATTCGATGCTACGTAATGCAAGATTGACGAACTGAATGCACCGATGTAAATTTAAATTTCATTTGTAAAGCATAGGCATAGATAACACCACAATGGCTAGAAGTTACAACATATTCTTTAGAAATGTCAAAGAAAGGCAGTCAAATTTGATCTTGCCGAAAATAGGAATTTTCCGAAATTACCTAAAGGGTTCATAAACTCCCAGTCGAAACTAACAAATTTTACGATTTTTACTGTTAAGTCGGAATATAGTGAAGCATCTCGGCGCGAAGACACACCACGACACATTGGCCTGACCTTTCAAAGAAATGCAGAGAGTATAAACAGACCCAACAACAAGTTAGTGTGAAACCTTACGTTCCCAGCAATCGAAATCAACAATATTAAAATTACTTTGATTTTAATAAACAATTTAGATAAGAAACTGTCATGGGGACATAAACCATGTCCTAGTCGAATGTTAAGAAGCCTACCTTGTAAGTTGCTTCGCAAAAATAAAAAGACGACTGGGAAAGATTATCTAGTGACCTCCGTCGTAAGGCAACAATAAGATATGCATATGGGAAAGGTATTCCCATGAATAGCAATTTTTCTCAGGCCCTTCAAAGCCAGTCAAAAGAAAAAACGCTCCTTTTCAGAGGTGTGGAAAGAATCAATTCTTGCAACCTCTGGGATGCCGAGCAAGACAATTAGCCACTGGTGCGCTGGTCGCTGTTATGTCGTTTTTGTCGACACGGAAAAAGGCAAAAAACGCGGGAGTGCTAACAGACATATGGATCCTAGGGCCAATGGCCTCATCCTAGGTGCCACTTTGGACAACCTAGGAGAAGGCCTTAGCACATTGCAATCGGCAGCTGGATAAAGCAATTTTACAGATCAAACAAAGTGAAAAGTGCAAGATGAGACCAATGATCGACAATTAGCTTGGACGGAGTGAAACGTCGACCAGACACTTACTAAAGCGAATCAAGCAAACAATAAAGACACATGACTTTATAGAATGTCAGGGTTATTTTTTCAGCCCATAGGTTGACTAATGAGCAGGTTACTCTTAATTTTAATACACAAAAATGACCTTGGAGTCGAAAGGCGCTGGATGGCTGCGCGGGTGTTAACTTAGCTAAGGGATGAAGAAACATTCTTGACTCCAGTAAGACTGAAAGTTAGGAGCAATTAGAAAAAAGTAGCAATCAGAATTGTTAGGGAGCCCAAATACATTCCAAAAATCGCAATAGTTTAGGAAACCAGCACACGAAGAAAACTAAGAAAGCAATACATAGTCCATGTATGATGAATTATGGGCCCCAGCAAGTCATGGCCGAAAATCAACAGACTAATAATATTGACAAAAAACATCTATGCAACAAAAGAAGGGAACTGCCTAATTTCTCAATCCCGTATTGATTAAAGCTTGTAAAAAATTAATCGCCACTTTTAAGCTAGGATGACCGATGTAAAGGAAAACCAAATTTACCAAATGAATCGCCAATAGCTTGATATGGCAACAGCGTTGAAAACAACACGTTCTATAAAGTCCAACAAAGTGATTTTGGAAGTGGGCTTCAGGGTTGATGAAAACATGGCATTGATGACGGCAAAACACAAACAGACGATGTGATACAGTTTTACACAAAAGTATAGAATATCAAGTCGCGAGAATCGCAATGGAAAATCATCTTTAAAGGAGGTATTTCACATCTCAGTAACTGATTTAGGCAATCGGACGAGCCAATCAAAACTAGAAAGATTTGTTTCCAGAGAAAAATGATGAGCCACAGAAAAGGAAGTTAGCAGAACTTGCGAACTAGAAACGAAGTCCATGTATATTGTAACGAAGTTTTACGAATAGATAATTCTACTATCAGCACTTGAAGCGTAAGGGAAGCACCAATAAAAAGGCTCATGAAAACAAATTTACCCTATTTGTCAATCGCTTGTGAAAAGAAAAACAGTTGGAAGTCACCATATAAGTACAGGTATTAGCGAATGAAATAGGCAAGAAAGCAGGCAGCATTGAGTCCGCCATTGAATTACGAGCATGCGAGTACAAAAACAGCAGACAAGGTCTTCAATCTTACCATTTAAATCGTCGACCTAAAGAAAATAAACGTGCGGTTGATTTTCGGAATTTACATCAGTTGATAGTCGAAGTCAGGTTCTGGTTTAAAGCGCTTCCTGTCTGCCACGGGCAGCGGGACAAGAAGACGCTGATCTAGTTGGATACCAACGTGGTCCGAGTCGAAGGACACATCTGTGTGTGTGGAATGCGGGTTTGTGCATGGGAGAAAAAGAGGAGTTAACTAACCTGCTAGCTGCAGAGAGGAAGATGTAGAGGACTTGAAGCTGCTCCGTCAAGCACGTTCCGCTCATGTAACTATAAAAGGGGAGAGGAAACTCACAAATAAGACCAACTGATGAGCCAAATCGATGTTTTTGCAGTGGTTAATGTATCCTTGGGGATACACAGATTGGAAATGCAGTGATAATAATAAAAGTGGAAGACATTCACTGCATAGCGGGAGGATATTCCAACGGATTAGGAAATGTGCTCTGGTAATAGTGTTAGATTTCTTATATTAGCAATTTATCTGACATTGTAGTTCTAAGCATCGGTGAGGCAATAGCGATGGCTTGAGTGGAGGTCTTTTTGTATTACAGATGAAAGACAAAAGGGAGACCATAACAAGTTGGAGTAACTCTTGAAGCAAGGTAATTTTTTGATACAATAAGTTGAACTTAACATTAAACAATAGGCAATAATTTTCGCTTCGTACGGAAAGCTATTGAGTCTTGGTGGCACACTCGATAAATTACTACTTGAAATGAACTTAAAACGAACAAGTGTTCGCAAGTGACAATTGGACGTGGTAAGTTAAGTGTAGAGGTTGCCATTTAAGCTCTATAGCTCTCAAGACGGACCTAATCGGAACAGGTTTGCACAAATGAACAGGCGAGTGCACAGACAAAAAGTGTCGGTTTAACAACCTCCCTTTAGTTTGGGGCAATACATACCCATATTTCATTTTTTATCTAAGGGGAAATAGCTGGTAACAAGAGCGGGGACAAAGTTGAAAGAGCACATGTCGGGCGGGTAGCAAATTTGTCGGGACTATGAGCAGAAGCGGTCGTGGCTGCACACTGTCAAACGCCTGTACAATGCGAGCCCATATGAAAACTCAGTATGGTTCCCGCTTCACACTCTATGGATAAAGGGAGGCAATGAAGGGCGATATAATTCTACACTTAGTCAAGAAGTAGTTCTAAAATCTTTAGGGAATAATAACATTTTGATTAACATCCAGAAAACGAACGTGCCTCATAATCGTTTGCAAAGGACTAGGCACAATAATGCCGTTCATCTGTTTCAAAGCGAACAGAGGTGGGATGATATAAGCCCCAAGTCAGTCGAATTGGAAGGCAAAAAAAAAACGATTCAGGGACCGCACACTTTACTGGATGACAAAGTAAGGTAGATTTGACACAGCGAAGGTCCATTGTGTGAAAAAAAATGAAAATCTACGACCTCAACCCGAACTAATTTTTTCAGTTGTCAGATTTAAATAACAGAAACTAACTTTTATGCTAGTACCCCACCAAAGGCACACAAGAATACCATGAATTGAACGTTGTGCGGATCATTAAAAACAGCAAATCGAGTAAGCTGCGGAAGAGAGCAGAATGATGTGCAGATTAAGAATCAGAGTCTTCTCACTACGCCGTTTGAGGAACGCAGGTTTCGTAGTAGTCGTAAATGTCTGCCCTTCAGCAGTGTTGAGCTAGGCAACTACCTTGAATGGAAGGAGAATGACCGATTCTTTTGCAAACGGAAAGAATTCTGCTAAAAACGGATCCCAAATGATTAGACCAACACCTTTTCAGATATTTCACATCCGTTCCCTGAGCTGCATTAGTCAGTAAATCGCGTCTTGTTTTGGCTCGGCTTTGGACTAGAATTTAAAAGCCAAACGAATAACTGGGAACCCTCAAAATTTCCTCCATCCGCTTAGGTTAGGATCAGATTACCAAGAAGAGATGAATGGGTGTCGACTTGAGCAAATCAATTATGGTTTAAGTGGATAATCCCGAACACCAAAACAATCGCACTTCATCAAAAACGGTTCTGACCACGTGTTTCTTTGGCATATATAATTTTAACCACAAATACCATTGAACTAATAAGCCGTTCTGCCTTTTCGTGTAAAACTGAAGTGTGAAAAATGGGAATCAAGAAGGTAACATTGTGCAAAAAACGATGAGCATTTCTGTTGAAAATATTTAAGTTAATGCCAAAGAAACTGTAAAATCAAGGCCACTAAGGAATCGTTACAGCAGCGAATAGAAAGAAGAATCGATAAGTTGAGGAAAAAGGTAATAAACAAAAATTTAGCACTTAGTTATCAAACCAAGCCTCTGTATGGTGTAAGAGCGCCTACATTTCCGGTGGTGACCGAGGCCATTTGTCAATTAAACAATGTGCAACACAACCGTATTGCCAAGCTACAAGGAGGGTGATTTGTAAGTGTCACTGGTCGGTTTCGAGAAGATGATGCAGATATGCTAAGCGGAAATGCTCACTACATGTATAATACAAACACAACCCAGGCTAGACAAAGACACGAGTTTGCGTCAGCCCAGTCCAATGAGAAGTAGACACAGCGGCAAGTGGGGATGGCCCAAAGAAAAACGAACTGAAAAAGACTTCGGCGCTAGACGCTTTACGATCTGTGGAGCAATAAAGCTAAAATGACAATCCATTGATTGCAGTCATTAACGATGTTCTGCCCAACTAAATAGCTAATCAGCCTCACCGATGCAACAGAAAATTTTCATACTGTGATTAAACATTATAGTCTTCTTTACTAATTCCCCCTTCGAAAAGGAAAGGGTATGCGCAAAGGATCTGCAAGTGGTACCAATATGGTTCAAACAAGGATATATCGGATAGCTTCAAGAAATGTTAGTGTTAACAAATATAAATCAAGGGTAAGGAATGAAAGGTGCACAAGATTAGACAAGGTAATTGAATAGTTTCAATGGCATGCATCCATTTGAAAGTTTCAGGATAAACAACCATTTATATTGTTAACTAGCTTAATAGTCGAAAATAAACATGTCAATGCTTAGCTGCTTCTGCAGATTTATGAAGAACTAATATAAACATGTACAAGCTGATTATCCATTTCCTCCAGATTGAAATTTTCAGAAAACAGTTATTGGGGCGCTTTGAACAATGTTCATGAGACTTTAAACAAGTTTGAAACCTGAAAAAACAAGGCACAGACCAACGACATTTGAACTAATGGCGACAAATAATTCACCAAAATTGCAGAACCAAACTATGCTCCTCAATTGTGAAATATCGCGCAGAGGCAATTGCAAAGGCCCCAACTTATCTGTCTAGTTTTTGAGAGGAGAGCACAAAGTTTTGAAGAAACCGTTTGTAGTAGAGGGGAACTTTGGGCAGTTATTCGTCAGGCAGGCCATGCATTACAAAATTAGCCGCTGTCAACCAGTTAAAAGACGATAAAAGCATTGCTAAAAAAAACTATAATAACTGGAAGGAAACATGCACCATAGAGAACTAGTGTTCTGAGAAACTGAAACAAGTGATACCATGTTACTGGGCGTGCAAGGGTTTGCATAAAATAGATTTAACTGCTAATTCCGAGGAGATAACATTATTTTTACACTTGGTAATGAGGAATGACAACTTGCGAGGCGGGCTGACACATTTGATAAGATGAACCTCAAAATAACTGATTCTAGTGGTCATTCACTAAATTGGTATCAAAGAAAATTTTCTGCAGTTTTTTTAAGAACTACAAAGTTAAAGCTAACAACATAAGGTTGAATAAAGCAAGGGTAAAATTCCTGCTGAACAATGCAAAACCCCTTGATCAATGCATGCCGTTCAGTTTTAATACCCTCCGAAAATCAAAGAACGTTAACGAGAAACGCAAACATTACTCAGTACATCATTTGATTCTATTCAGCATTCAATGAGCATAGATATCAAAGTGGCGAGCATCGATTTACCCAAGCGTGATTTCAGGGCAATCCCATACGGGTGAGTAAAAGCCTACTGCATTGTGGGTAAAAAGCCAAAGTGAAAAAACTCCCTTTTCTGCATTTCCTTGGGAGGCCAGGGAGGGGTGGTAGAGGTAAGGAATGGGGGAAGAGGCAGAACGCAGAAACATGTCAGGAGGCCACGCTGTGTCCACACAAGCAGATAAACAAGTCAAGACGAGGCACAAACCAACCGAAAATGGACTGCATCAATAAGTGGACAAATAACATCGGCTCACTCGATTTTCTTTCTCTTCCGATCCATTGCAATTACTTTTTACCAACAGATAGTCGTATTGTCGAAATCACCCAAATAAGCCAATTTTCACTCAAATTAAAGATAACGATTGACAGCTTCAGTAATACCTTGAAGAAAAAAAATTCACTTTTTGCAGAAACGGGGGCAATCAACAGCAGGACGAAGGCGAGACCTTTATCGCTGACGGTAGCCAACGATAAGATTTAGAGCCAAGGCCTCGAAACATCTTAAAAATTGAACACAATGAGGAGGTAGCCAGACAAAGCGGCTCACGAAAACTCAACTCAGTACAGCAAGGTATTTGGGTGACAATATCGTATACAGGAGTCTGAAGAAACACATGAGAAAGAAAACAGAAACATTTCGGAGCGAAACGGAAGCGTTGGAAAAGCCAGAATTAAGAATAATCGGCTCATAAATAAATAGTACAAACTTGAAAAGTACATCTTTTCTGTCAGTCCAAAAATTGTGGCAAATAAGAAAAGCTTCAGAGAAGTAGCACCATTCTGAAAATGAAAACTCACGTTAACTTCACCCAAACGCATATGCGGGCAAGAAAAAGGCTGGCCATCTGAGCTAACTCCAGCTCCAGTTCTGGTCCAGACCGGTTCCAGTGCTGATCAATAAAGTTTTGTAAAAGCTGGCGGCGTCTCTCCCTAGGGGCACGATCCCATTCTCGAAGTAAACAGGTCATATTGAAGGTTGCACTATCCTGCCTCATAGGAGCCATTGTTGCTAACTTTGGATTGCCCTGAGAAATTTTATAGAAAGCAGGTTTAGCCAGTCAATTACAAATAGCTTAAATGGGAACGACAACCACGGCCCTACACTACCAGCTAAGTTAAAATACCCATTAAGGCTAAAAATCTCGAGTGAACAAGGTGCATGTGAGTGCAAATTAAAGTGAGCAACATAGGAGTTTGAAAAATAATGATATGGATGCACGATAGGCAACGATATCAAAAATCACATCGTACATGACGTAGTAGACAAACGGATAACATTAGCTAGGTTAAAAACAACACCAGAGAGGGGAATTACGCAAAGTACGTTGGTACGGAGAAGTGGGAAATCTCAAAACAAAGAACACAGGATCATGGCTCAATATGCCATCAACCATGATATCAAAGAAAGCAAACAAAAAGTATAAAAACGCAACAGACTAAAAAACTAACAAAGAAAAACACTAAGGACATTAAGGAAAATAAAACAGAGCAGGAGGGTTCACAAGGTTTTGTGATAGGCATGTGGCATGCACTCCATTCATATAAAAAATGCAAAGGTTGTAAAAATGAACCGCAATAGAAGGCGAATAAGATAAATGGGCGGCAGAGATCTCGAATCAATCTGTAAGAAACACACTGACACTAGGACATCAAAAATCGGACATTATAATGTTCATGCATCCGCGCGCACTAAAACCACACACCTGCTGTCGAAGAGACAGGAAACAGCTCTAATCAGAAGTACAAATAGATTTTAAAAGGCTTAAGTGAAAAATTACCTGAATACAAAATTTCCTATGTTTAATTTCAAGGATAACAGGGAAAGCGTGTCCCACTGATCAAAACGAATAGATTTTGTAAATATTCGGTTCATGTAAAACTGCACTAAGGATGTCGAAATGTCAGTACAAAAATATTTAGAAACCTAGCCCTATTTGCTGCGTGTGTGCTAACGCTTCTGCTCCAGAAACGTTATTAACCGTGATGGTTAAGTTAAATTGGCCCAGTGCATTAATTGTTACATTACTCAACCCAAACATGACTTACGCAAGACTATCAAAGACTCCAATCAACTAAAAACATAAACAGCACAAGATCATAGGTTTCATGTCCAACTCCAATTTTCTACCAGAAGGACTAAACGATGCAAATTATTACTCAAAGTAAATAATGCACTCTTAACAGTCATCAGCGTCCTTGAAGGATTATAGGCAAGCCAGTTAATTTGGAGTACGGTCAGTGCTGCCTGTGTACCAAAACACACTTGCGCTAATTTAAAAAGGCTATCTCTCCCGTAGTGGCCTATCGACATTGTCATCTATTTTAAACAGACTGGTGGGGCCTCAAGGTCAAGTACGTATTGTGGTGTGTAAAGGCAACTTGAATGTCCACAAGTCATTTAAGCTTTCTTTATTAATTTGCTGTCAAAATATTGCGCGTACACTGGAAATCACATGCACTAGTAGCTTTGCAGATGTGGTTCCCATATTAGTTACACTATTTTAAATTGACTGCGCATAAATGAAATTTTAAGAATCTTTAAATACAATGAGTAGAGTAAAACTGGAGTACAACTTTGCGTCCCTTAAAATTTGCTGCCGTTGGACCTGGTCATGTTTTCCATTAGTAATATTGATTTATGCGTGAACACCAATGTTGATTTATATTTGGTAATAATTTGCAATTGCTTAACACAACTGCTTTCTATAGTAGGACTTTTGTCTATGCTTCTAGCGCTTTAGCAATTTTTTGTGATTATGTCTCCCCAGCATTTATGTAGCGTCCCGAGACTCCCTGAAGACGAAAGAAGACACAATACTCGGGCAGAATATGTATTCAGTGCATAGAAGGTGTCTGGGCTATTGGCATGGCCCGAAAGGCCAGCCCACCCAGCGAGGTACAAGGGGGCTAATTCAAAGTACAAAAGTCGCGCCTCACCAAAACCGAGGGATAAACCACTATCGTATTACATAGCCTCCCTCCTCTTTTGAGCGTCGTCCCCGGCGCTCCCGCAGGTCAACCT